AGCAACCGCTAGTTGTACAGGGTGTGCGTACTTAACGCCCGTACACAGTATACAGTGCTGAGAGCAAGGCCATTTTCGAAGCTCCGGCTCTCACATACCTTCCCTTCGAGTTTCTCTTGTGTTTGTCTTCGTCGATTTTCCTTTCTTTCCCTCCCCCCCCCCGTCGACTTGTGCTCTGACGGACAAAGAGACTCGTTCCCCCGTGTCGGGTTGAAGTGCTGAGTGTGTTGTCTTCGGCGTGTGATTGCTTGGAGACTCCCTCCGCAGAGCTGCCCCTTGCTGCCTCATTCCCTTCGAGTCGTTTGCTTTGCTTGTGCTTCGGCGCCTGGCGGACGACGACAAGGAGCCCAGGTATGACATAGACAGATTGTGCTTGTGTGGTGTGGTGTGTCTGTGTCAGCGCGGAGACGTGTGCGAAATGCTGCCTGGGGTAGATGGATGTCGTCTGAGGGGGAGGCGGACCTCACGGATCCGGGACTTGCCTGAGTCTTACCGTTGATACGGGTTCCTTCGGGGACGCCGTCGGTGGCTTCGTAAGTGCAAGGGTACGCCCGTGGGAAGAAGAGTCGCCTCGCAGAAGGCAATCCTTCGAAAGGGCCGTGAGGATCTCTGTTGAGTGGAGCTTTTCGTTGCGTCCCGCTCGCTCTGTGGTCGTTTGGTGCGGAGTGCCCGAGAGTCGAGGTTGGGTTGGAGCCGGTCGAGGCTGGCCGATGGCGAGGAGGAACTCGGATTGGGGCCTTGACACCTCGTGAGGGTGGCTCTTCATGGCCGATCAAGAGATGAGCGTGGAGTGGCGCGGATTGCTCTAGTGGAGGGAGCGCCTCTGAGCCGTGGTCTGGTCTGCTGTTGTAATGAAGTGATGCGCAGAAGGGCGCTTGGTCGGCAGCCTTGAGGATCTTGGCTAGCCCGCCATGTCGTCGCGCTGGGACTGATGCCGCCTGCATCTATTCGCAACGTTCCTGCAACGCTCTCGGGTGGCCTGACGAGAATGAGACGCGTCTCCTCTCAGCCCAGCTCGATTCGTTGGCTTCATATCCACGCATTGGCGCGGCTCTCTCGGTGTCTCACTTTCTAGCTGAGACTCAGCCCTTCTCCTTGCGTACGGAATGGGTGATCATGGATATTTCTATGACGGCAGCGTATGTACGCTCTCATAGTTCACCGACGGAGGGACAAGCACCGACACATCGATCAAAGATGACGATGATTGTTTGGTTGCTGCGTGGATGGACAAATTCCCCGTGTCTCGGGTGATATTGATTCACTCACATATGTCTCATTCGGTCCATGTCTCACACTCACCGACGCATCCGTCTACCCCTGGCGGATGGTACACGTCTGGTGCTCATCGTGGTGATATCGATTTGTGACACAGCCGCCCCAACCGACCGACACTGTCAGACAGAAATGCCATAGAGGAGAGGGCAGTCGATATGCGAGGGGACTGGATGTGCTGTGCACAAATCTGTCGTGACCAGCTAGTGTGTGAAAGACTCACCGGTTCACTGTCGGGGCGGTGTACATGAAGCGTATTTGCGTGCATTGCCGTGTCAGCCCTGTAAATGTGTGAATTGATGACGACGCTGTTCTAGGTAGGAGTCCCGTGAAGGTTCTCCCCCACACACACGCAGAGAGAAAAGCCATGGGCCTCCACTCGCACACCCCATTCCACAAGATCTTCGGAGACACGCAGCGGGGAGGCTTGCGAGCTAAGCTGTCGGGCGAGAGTGATTTTGCGTGCCACGGTGGTCTTAGCGTTTCGGAACAGCGAAACGTCCACGTCTACCGCCGTGGGGCTGTCCTGTATGAGATCATCTCACCGTCTCGCTCAGATCTTCGTTGTCTGACTTCGCTTCGTCTTGCTGTCGACACCAACAGCGCATTCCTACCCTCATCCTCTTGGCTGTCGCGCAGGCTTCGTCAGCACCAAGGCTTCCCCTCACCGAAGCAGGGAGTGTCGCGCGTGAGGCCTCACCTCAGATCTGGTCTGGCAATGAGGCAGCTCACCAAGGAGGAGGCGTGGACGGCCGTTGGCGACGCTGTGAGGTATCTGAAGGAGCATGAGAGCCCCAAGCCATTCATCTCGGGCACCCTGGACCTGCTGCCGTCCATCCACGGGCCCTCATGGACGCTCGAACCCGACTGCGTCACGATCACAGACGCCCCCTTCTCGGTAAGCATGATAGGTAGAAAACACAGCGTCTCGTGCCACGTGCTGATGACTCCGTCTGTGTGTTTCCTTGCACGCAGACGTGTGCACTGAAGGCGCTGTACGAAGGCCATTTATCTCAGTCTCCCGTCGGCAAGGGCATGACACGGTCATGGACCTCGAGGCACGCAAGTCACGAGAGGTGGCGGGAGGACTCGTCGCGCTGAAGAGCCAAGCTGGCAACTGGACCAGGGTGATCGAGGGCATCTGCCGACAAGTGGAGGAAGAGATGTCGGGGCCCACCAGCCGTGTGCAGGCCGATTGGTACAAGATGCTGCTCTACAGCGAAGGCGACTTCTTTGAGGTGCACAAGGACACGCAGCGCTCGAACGACCACTTTGCCTCTCTGCTGGTCTTCCTGCCCACCGAGTATACTGGAGGCGACTTCTTGCTGCACGATGATGGAGAGTTCGATGGCGAGAGATTTAACAGGGAGACGCAAGACGCCCTCGGGCACCAGCAAGCTCGATGGATCGCTTTCTACTCAGACATTGTCCACAGCGTCAAGCCTGTTCTGTCGGGATATCGCCTCGCGCTCGCCTACAACTTGCGCCGTCACGAGACCGGGGAGAGGTTCAAGAAGGACGGCCCGTTGGCGCCCCCATTGCAGCGGCTGGTGGATGGCATGAAGGAGCACTTCAACTCTCCCCAGGTATGTCGACTGACCACCGATCGTCCGTCCATTGCTCGTTGCTCATTGCTCGTTGCTCATTGCTGTTTGTGCATGTGTCTCTCTTCTGTTCAGGCCAACGAGTCGTAGGTGTTTCAGCTATCGCACGAGTACACTCTCTCGAGTATGACGCCAGCTCACCTCAAAGGCATCGACAGCGCCCTCTACCAGCTGCTTTCTCAGCATTTCGACTGCGACATCCGTCTATTGTGCGCGTACCAGTGGTTCGACGACGACCCCAAAATCAACCTCGTCGATGAGAAATATGCAGAGGAGATGAAAAAGATTGCAGCATTTTACGAAACGGAACCAGGCCGCAAGTGGCTCGGCTGGCGGGATAAGCCGAAGGAGGAGAGGGCAAAGGACCGAGAAGAGAAGAAGCGCATGGAGAGCGAGCTGGCTGAGAACTTGCCGGCTATCTCCCGTGACGTCACGGGAGGGGGAGGTGATGAACTCGAGGCACTGGGGCGTTTGCTGCTTGACCCTCGCTCAGTGGAGAAGTGGGACACAGCGATATCGGAGTGTTCGTTTGACGACGTCTACACGCCGCTGAATCTCATGAACTGCCTGAACGAGAGCCGTGACGAAAGCCATGTGTTTCAGCTACGCCCTGCAGGGGAATGCAGGATTCCTGGCACTCGTTCGGCACTCGGCTACAACCTAGTAACCAGACGGCCAATCACCAAATACGCAGGGAACGAGGGCATTGCTAATTTTGAGTTCCAGTACATCACAGTGGCACTTGTTGCCAAGGGAGTCGTTGACGCTGGCATGCAAGAGGCGAAGAGGCGTAGGCGGGATTGATTGGAGGGGGGGTGCAGGGGAGTGACAGATGCAGATTGGAACGTGACTTGATGTCATCGGTCGTGCGTGAATGGCACCAGCTGCGAACGCACAGCCGACTTGTGTACTTATGTGTATTGATTGATACATGGGTTTCGATTCATTCACATCAGGCGCAGCGTCTTGCTACCTGTCTCATGGCCCCCATGCACAGACATTCATCCCACGGTACGCACATGCAGAGAGGAGAGGAGGGCCTCGATATGTTCTCAACACATGCACGCACCCTCTCATAGTAACACATACACTTCCAGGCGGTCGGCATGGCAGTGACTGCTGTGAGTAATTCTGCCTCGCATCATGTCATATCATAACACGAAACGTCGTCAAAACGGCCGTGGCCGTGTGTCGGTCGATCTGTCCCCACGCCGACAGCCCCATCAACACCAAAAGACAAAACATGTATGGGAAAACTTCGGTACGTGTGTACATCCTTTCTACACGTGTAAGAGGAGAGAAGGCCCAGCCACGATGGCTACCGATTGAAACGGGACAGAGATAAAGAGGGAGAGAGAGAGAGAGAGAGATGGAGGGACGGAGGGCGGCCTAGCGCTAGCATCGTGTGTGCATCAGGCACTTGATACAGGCATCGGTTCTCCGACAGCCTGCCTCACGACACACTACAATACAATACACGCCACACGGCTGTCCAACCTCGTCCAAAAAAGAAGAAAGGGAGTCCCGTCCCGTCCCGTCTCGTCTCATTCATCCCATCCACCAAGGCGAAGACAAACAAGACGAATCGTGTGTCAGTAGAGGAGTAGAGGGATCCATCCCCTCACTTCAACTCCTCATCTCCCTCCAGCCCGCTGTCTGTCTGTCCGTTCTATGAGTCAGTCACCGAAAGCGAACTGCATGCCGGGAAGGACCAGTTGAAGATTTGTGTGCATGTAATCGTCGTTCATCGGAAGGTCGGTCGACAGGCGGAGAGCACTGCGGGGCGATGACTTTGTCCCCACACCGTCCACAGACAATGTCACGCCATACCTGCATCCACACACACAGACGGATGGGCCTGCACCCACTGTTTCGAGATCATTTGCCGCACTGGCTCGCTCACCTTGTGTTGTTGGTGCTGTTGCCGGGCGTCTTGGGAGGCAGTATTTTCAGTCACTTGTGCGGACGGATCAGTCGCAAAATGGGATGTCAGACCCCACCGGGCGGATGTTCTGACCCGCACTCACATCGCCTGGCCATTCACAGAGGCGTACACAGGGCACGCAGTCAGTCCACAGACACAGAAATGAGTGCCCTCCCTCTGCTCACTCACAGGTCAGGATGGTCACCGTCTGCTTGTCCACATTGCACTGCTCCACAGGCACCTGAGCGAGTGATTGACACCCATACACACGTGGAGGATGGGCAACATGGGGTCTTTCCGCTGCACTCACCATAGCACTTGCACCGTCTGGCACTTTCGCGCCTGTCGTGATGTAAGATGCCTCGCCTGCACAACACGGACAGACACAGGGAGGTATGGGCCATCTCGCGCTGCCCTCGCAGACACACCTCTCTCTCACCGGGCTTGAGCGTAACGATCCCCTCGGCGCCGGCAAAGCTCTCGCTGACGATGGAATACGCTGCTGACACAAACCAAGGATCAGACGACCAAGTCGTTTGACAGTGCTGAAGGCGGCCAGCCCTTTGCCTACCTGATCCACTCCCTCCCAAGTGAAGTGCATAGCCGTCCTGATGGATGGATGGATTGACCAACCAACACAGACAGACACCATCACACATAGCAGCTCACGTCGTTCGCTGAGTGACACGTGCTGGCTCACCACGATGGATGCAGGGAATGCGGGATGGGGAAACGGAGCCGTCACGTCCTCCGCCTGTCACACACAAGCAGAAGGACCCTTGCACACACTGCAAAGCGTGATCTCCATCTCCGTCTGTGATCTTCCTTTCTGACCAGGGTGCGTCCGAACGCCGACTGGATGGCCACAGTGTCAGTCGTGGCGGGGCCTCTCTTCTTGACTGCCTCCATCACGTGCTGCAGCCCTTCAGCCACTGACAGCATCGGATAAGAGGACTTCTCGGAGCCGCCATCGCGAGATCTGATATCGATATGCGCTGCCTCACGCGATATCGCCCAGAAGTTCCCTCTCCTGTTGCGAGCTAAGCTTGCGATCGGCGACTCTTTTTCGCCCCGTTCTCCCGGCGAAACGTCCACGTCTATCCCTTCGGATGTCCTGTGGATGAGCTCATCTTACCGTCTCGCGATGATGAGTCAGATCTTCGTTGTCCTCACCCTGGCTTCGCTTTGTCCCGTCGTCGACGTCAATGGTGCGTTCATCCCCTCGTCCTCTTGGCTGTCGCGCAAGCTTCGTCAGCACCAAGGCTTCCCCTCACCGAAGCAGGGAGTGTCGCGCGTGAGGCCTCACCTCAGATCTGGTCTGGCAATGAGGCAGCTCACAAAGGAGGATTCTCGGCGTGGACGGCCGTTGGCGACGCTGTGAGGTACCTGAAAGAGCACGAGAGCCCCAAGCCATTCATCTCGGGCACCCTGGACCTGCTGCCGTCCATCCACGGGCCCTCATGGACGCTCGAACCCGACTGCATCACGATCACAGACGCCCCCTTCTCCGTAAGCATGATGGGCAGAGCACACAGCAGATATCTCGTGTGCATTCCTGCCTGTCTGTGTGTGTTCTTGCATGCAGACGTCTGCACTGAAAGCGTTGTACGAAGAGCATTTATCTCAGTCTCCTGTGGGCAAGGGCATGGACACGGTGATGGACTTGGAGGCGCGCAAGTCACGAGAAGTGGCGGGAGGACTCGTGTCGCTCAAAAGCAAGGCTGGTAACTGGACCAGGGTGATCGAGGGCATCTGCCGACAAGTGGAAGTGGAGATGTCGCCGACCAGCCGTGTGCAGGCCGATTGGTACAAGATGCTGCTCTACGGCGAAGGCGACTTCTTTGAGGTGCACAAGGACACACAGCGCTCGAACGACCACTTTGCCTCTCTGCTGGTCTTCCTGCCCACCGAGTATACTGGAGGCGACTTCTTGCTGCACGATGATGGAGAGTTCGATGGCGAGAGATTCAACAAGGAGACGCAAGACGCCCTCGGGCACCAGCAAGCTCGATGGATCGCTTTCTACTCCCGACATTGTCCACAGCGTCAAGCCTGTTCTGTCGGGATATCGCCTCGCGCTCGCCTACAACTTGCGCCGTCACGAGACTGGGGAGAGGTTCACGAAGGACGGCCCGCTGGCGCCTCCATTGCAGCGGCTGGTGGATGGCATGAAGGAGCACTTCAACTCTCCGCAGGTATAGAGACGGACGGTCGTCATCTGCTCCTTCTCATGTGTACTCATGTGTAGGGCCTATGCATTGCTCGATGTGTGTCTCTTCTCTTCAGGCCAACCAGTCGTGGGTGTTCCAGCTATCGCACGAGTACACTCTCTCGAGTATGACGCCAGCTCACCTCAAAGGCGTCGCGCCCTCTACCAGCTGCTCTCTCAGCATTTCGACTGCCACACCACCCTGCTGAGCGCCTACATGGACTGGGATGGCGACCCCGAGTTCAGAGTCGTCAACAAGTCCGTGACAAAGGACATGAAGAAGGTTGCTGAATACTATCAAAATCGCGGCGAGGGTGAAGAGGAGCGACATGAGGAGGAGTTTGCGAAAAATTTGACTCACTACTGGGGGATCGCTGACGGATACCCCAAAGCTGATGTGCCAGAGATAGGGGAGCTGCTGACGAACCGCTCGATTGTAGACGAGTGGGACATGGAAGGCGAAGGGGGGCCGGGGATCAATCTTTACGAGTTTCTGCAAGACGGAAGAGAGCCAATAGTGGAAATCGTCGATGAACCTTACCCTTGCCAGAGGGAGACGTGGCCACCAGAGCTACCGCCAGAGACGAGCTTTATCTATCGAGTTGGTCCACCAGGCGAGCAACGCATTCCCGGCCTTCGCGGCCACCTTGGCTATAACGCTGTGGTCCGAGCACCCTTGACTCGTTATGCAGGAAATGAAGGCGCTGTCGATTGGAGCTTTCAGTACGTCTCTGTTGTAATGGTGTGCAAGAAGAAATATCAGTGAGACAAGAGTGTATACATAGGGGGATGGGGTGGACGAGAGACATTCGGGTTAGCTGATGATGTGTCTGTCACCAGTAGCTGGGCCATAGGTGTGGAGTGATTTTGGTTTATTTTCGGATGCGGCGGCGTGCATGAGTGAGTGATATGTGGATTCATTCGAATCATGCAGGTACATCAAATGGGTCTTGCGCACACACGACATCCCCACCATCTTTCAGTCTGCACGCACATGCGATGGTGACACGCGAGGGAGGAAAAGACATAGAGAGAGAGGGAAGCGCCCTACGGCACGCACCGCTCAGAAAAACCGATGGCCGAGTGCGACGAGTGTCGTCTGTCTGTTGTTATGGCCGCACGCGGCGCGCGCAAGAAGGCTACCTAAGGCACATAAGTGATTCACGGGGAGACTCGTGGCACAGAGTGGCGCAGACAGAGGGGGGGGGAGAGAGAGAGAGAGAGAGAGAGAGAGGAAGCATGGCACCGCACACGGCAAGTGTATGTACAAAGGCCCTTTATCTCCTACAGCCTCACGCGCCACGTGGCCATTGTGAGGCCTCGCCCGCCACATCAGTATACTAGAGAGAAGCAAGAAAAGGCAAGACAGTCACTTCGTCGGCCAGCGCAAGTGTGTGTAACGTACCTATCCCTCCCCCTCTCTCCTTCTGCCTGTCCGGTCTGTCATTTCATCGCGATATTCATGCCAGGCACAAGTAAGTTCATGATCGTGATAAGCTTGTCGTCATCGATCGGCAGCTGATCCGCGAGGCGGAGGGCACTCCGAGCGACGACGACTCACCACACCGCCCACAGACAACGTCACGCCATACCTGCACGCATGCACAGCACACACACGGATGGGCCTACACGCACACGGGATGACACTATCTGCCGCAGTAGCTCGCTCACCGTGTTTTCTTTGTGCTGTTGCCTAGCGTCTTGGGGGGCAGCACTTCTGTCACCCTACCCGACAGCCCGTTGTACTCGGGGCCATTGACGAGACCGAAGATCCACACCTTGCTACCGACAGACAGGGGCCCCTCAGACCTGCACACCGAATGCATATTGACAGAGAAGGTATATGAGATAGATAGATGGACGGAGGCAGGTCTTTGAGCTCGCACCCGGTGTTGGCTTGGGTCAGCCGCTGCCGACAGGCGTCGAGTAGGATGTCGCCTTGCCGAATGAGCGCACGGAATGCCTCCGCCTCTGAACATCACACACCAACCCACCCGCCACCCGCCACCCACCATCCATCCATCCATCCATCCATCCAGCCCGCTAACCTGCGTCCCATTTCAGGGCGCTGAGAGCGGAGTCGACCGTCTCATGGGCAGCCCTCACTTTCGGCCACACCTGAGCAGCCAACGCCTTGCGATACATCTGAGCCTACAAGATACAATGGGTACACTTGTACGGATAAGTGGACGGCTCGGCTGATGTTCCCTTACCAGCCTCAGCTCGATCTTGTGGATCTCGGCGACGGTTTGGGGAGGCTCCGTGGCGATCATGGGGAGGCAGTGGTCCTTGATCGTGGCGGAGTAGTAGGATGCCTTCCACGTCGAGTCAGCCATAGTGAAGCCGCCCTGCGCGTCAGCCTGGTAGACAGCGACGTCGCGGAGCGGGCCGCCGAAGGGATCATCCACCAGCGACCCAGAAGGCTTCTGAACACGCTCCACCATCACGCACAGCTGCACACACGCAGACAGGGCAGAATACATCCACAGTGCACGTGTCAGCAACTGGTGCTTCAGGGCCGGGTTACCTGGCTGCATTTGGGGCACATGAAGCACGTCCGCAGATCGTCTCCACCGCCCTGGTCGAACACCGCAGTCATCACGCACTGCAAAAGAAAAAGAAGAACTCACCACACCCAGACAACCAAGACGAATGCATCAGTCGCCGATCCCCACGTAGGCAGGTCCTCACCTACCGCATGACAGAACCAACAGCCGCACTCCAGCCGCGCCAAATCGGTCCTCCGGGCGAGTTGCTGCACCATACACCACACGCATATGATGTGTGGCCGCTCGGTTCGGAGGCGAGCCCAACAGCCGTACCTGGTTGCATGTGGATGAGGTAGGTCTTGGGCAGTGTGTATGTGTGTGTCAGCTTTGCAAACGACTCCATCGGATATCCATGCTCTTCCACGAACCTGCGTGCAGATTCCTGCCCGCCCGCACTGGCGCGGCCCATGGCTGATGTCAGTCGTTGTATCCCGCGCATCGTCTCAGCGTGGGAGGGATGGGAGGACACGAAATTGTTCATGCTGTTCGTGCTTTCTGGAAACTGCTGCAGATTCTTCCGGTAGCTCGCATGCAGAGGAAACGTCGCGAGGAGGGAGAGAGGAGCAGCAGGAGATCTTTCACTGTAGGTTCATCAAACATGCAGTCATGTAGACAATGAATACATCCGGTATCTTCCGTTTGTGTGCAGATCCTCTCGCGCGGGATGGCAAAGGCTGTGCTCTGCTTCCTTGCTGCAGGGGAGGTGTGCTCGACGGCAGCATGGGTGACGCCGTCCGACTGCTTCGCAGGACACAGAACAAGAAAGAACATCCTCCGGCGATCGAAGGTCAGCAGTGCCCATACGAGGCTAGAATATGATGGCTCCACTTGTTCATTCCATTCATTCACTCATGTGTTTGATTCCCTCTCAGCCCTCTGCAAGCGCCTCCATCAGCCGTCTGTCTGCCAGTGCAGGAGAGAGGGCGAAGCGGCTGCTGATCCTGGGCCTGAACAAGTACAGCCACGACGCCGCCTGCTGCATCGTCGATACGTCAGGCGCACACCTCTACGGAGGGGAGAAGGAGAGGTGGGTCATGGATGGATCAAGCGCCCGTATCAGTATGCAACATCCACAGTGTGTGTGATGGTGGTGGTGTGTGTCATCAGGTTGAGTCGCGTCAAGCATGACGGAGGGGAGGTGGATGATCTGGTCGACCAGGCGCTCACGTCCGTCGATGCCACCCTGGATGACGTTGCAATGGTCGTCCAGAGTAACCACCACTTCCGGATCGCCCCTTTTGAAGACCGCCTACCATGGGCAGTCTCGCAGGGCCACTACCCACCGTCCTATATCGACCCGCTCAACATCTTCGCCGGGATCCCCAAACGAGAAGTATCCCACCACTTAGCACACGCATGGTCCGTCATCACTCAGGTGCGTGATGCAGTGAAGCTGGGAGTGACAGACATCGACGCGAGCTCATGTGGTGTGTCGTCTTGTGTGTGTGTGTTGGTCAGGCGCCGTTTGATGAGGGTCTTGTGGTCGTGATGGACGGCATGGGTGAGTCGTACAGGTACATGGCCGACTCACACAGCCAAGCGGAGTACCTCACCGATCTTGACCTGCTCGACTCTGCCACGTCCGAGCAGCGGTCCGCCTTCATCCAAAATCCGCGTCAACTGTTAGCCGGCAAGGGCTATCGTGAGGCGGAGAGCGCCTACCTCTTCTCCCGCTCGTCAGCCGCCGGTGGGCCGACGGTCATGCCTCTGTTCAAGCGTTGGACGGAGGAGCGCAGCCCACCGGAGCTCTTCAATCACGGCTTTGAGAACATGGAGTCGATGGGTGCCGTCTACTCGAGGGTATCCAGCCAGATCTTCGGCGACTGGAACGTCTGTGGAAAGGTGATAGATACGATACGTGGGAGGCTTTGTCACGTATCTGTGACTGTCTGTGCTTTGTGTCGGTGTAGGTGATGGGTCTCGCGCCATGGGCAAAGGCTGGCAGCACGGGAGAGGCCACAGACATGTGGAAGGGCCTTCTGGATGACGGCTTCCGACTAATGGAAGGCAACCTGCTGCTGTCGAAGGAAGAGCAGGGCGGCTTCCGCGTCAACTGGGGTGAGCCTGGTGTTGCATCAAGACATAGCACTGGGTCATCTCCCCTCTGCTGCGCGCCCTTTGGCTGCAGATTTGCTCGAGTCGCTGCCGCACGATTGCCTCGGGACCGACCCAACCTTCATGTACTGGACGAAGGCAAGACATGCAACACGGCTGACCAAGACACCGCACCACCGTGCGCTCTGCGCTGCATCTGTGTCCCAGGTCATTCGCCCCCCTGGCCTGGCGTGTGCAGCGTGACCTCGAAAACGCCGCAATGACGCTCATTCAGGAGCTCAAGGAGCGGACGGGCGCGAGGAACCTCTGTCTTGTCGGCGGAGTAGCACTGAACAGGTGAGATGAGGCAAGTCGATACACAGACGGATATGGAGCATCGATCCCTGTGCGTCGATTTCATTGGCTGCAGCGTGCTGAACGGCCGGATATGTCGAGAGCTCGGCTTCGATCGTGTGTTCATCCCGCCATTCCCTGGCGACGAGGGCATCGCATTCGGATGTGCCATGGCGGGACTGCACCACTTCATCAGGAAGCAGCCAGCAGAGGCGGCGAGAGCAGAATTGGAGACGTCATCGGTTGCCGGCCATCCCGTGACGCCCTACAGCGGCTATGACTACACTGCGGACCCCGAAGGCATGGATGCAGTGCTGGACGAGTACAAGCACTGGATCGTCACGCAAAGGCGAGTGCGTCAGGATGGCAGGGAGGGAGGGAGGGAGAGGAAGCGGGACTTTCATTCCGCTCATTCGTGTGCAGGTACACTGAGAGTGAGATCGTCGCCGAGACCGCTCAGCTGCTGGCAGATGGCAAAGTCGTGGCGTGGTTTCAGGTAGGTGGGTCAACACAAATAATGAATCGGCAGGCAGGCAGGCAGGCAATCTGTCTTGTCCATTCATTCAAAACAGGGCGGAGCAGAGATGGGCCCGCGTGCTCTCGGCCATCGATCCATCCTTGCAGACCCACGCAACAAGACAATGGTCGACTTCCTCAACAAGGAGGTCAAACACCGGGAGGCCTTCCGCCCGTTCGCACCATCTGTCATCGCTGAAGAAGCGGATGGGTGGTTTGAGGACCTGCCAGAGTGTGGATCTCCGTACATGTCGATTACGGCGGCTGTGAGGGAGGAGAGGCGTGGGCTGGTGCCTGCAGTGTGCCACGTTGACGGCACTGCACGGCTGCAGACGGTGCGGGAGAGCGATGAGCCGCTCTTCTATCGGCTGCTGCAGCAATTCTTCAAGTGAGCTACCGGGAAAAGAGTGACGAAAGGTCATCGACGTCCACTAGACCGTGTGTATGTGAATGTGTGTGTGTCAGGTTGACGGGCATCCCTATGGTTGTGAACACTTCATTCAACATCAAGGGCGAGCCCATCGTGGAGGTGAGTGAAAAGATGCATAGAATGATGGGGCGCTGGACCGATCGATGGACGGATGCCATCCATTCATCTGTCCGTCCGTCTGTCTGTCTGTCTGTCTCTCTGTTGTCCCTTCTTTCTCTTTCAGGAGCCTGGCGACGCTCTCCGCTCCTTTCTAGGTGCACTCCCGATAAACACACCCCCTCGGTCATTAATGCGTCGTTCCCTCTCTGTCTGTCGATGTTTCCCATCAGCCACGGAAGGTGCCATCCACACCCTGATTATGGGCGATGTCATGATCGAGCGACGTCCATTCCCCACTGAGGACGTCCTCAACCAGGTGCCCCTCCGCGACACCAGCCAGCCACTGAGGGTGCAAGAGACCTACCTCATGCACACCAAGGACGACAGTGAAAGCCGGAAATCGATGAAGTCTGTCCGGCTGGGCCGGATGGGTGGGAGGGGGGATGGCTGGGTGGACTTCGATGCGGCCGATCTGCGGCTGCTGCAGATGATCGATAATGAGATTACCATTCAGGTGCAGGCTAAGACATCGTGATACACACAAACACAGAGACGCGCACAGCTGTTATCTTCTCTCTATGCCTTCAGGACATCTTGGATCGGTGCCTGAACGAGGCATCAGTGTTTCTGGGCAGCGAAGTAGACGAGCAAGAGCTGGAGGTGTTAGTTGCTGAGAGTGCGGGCAAGGCTGTGGGTGAGGAGGTGGCGCTGGAAGACGACAGCCTGCCCGTGACGGTTGACGTGAGTGAGTGTGTTGGTGCCGAGGTACAGTGCCGTGTGATGGAGGGACTGCAGAGGCTGTACAGTCGACAGCTGGTTTACTTTGAGGAGAGCTCTGAATGAATGAATGAATGAGGGACCGATAGTCATCTCTTGCAATATTTGCATGCACGGCACGGACACGCGCATGAAAGGAATAGTCTGACTCCATCTGATGCAGCTGTGAGACGAGCATCATAGCCGTAGATCTTAGCATCGGTCGTTATGTTTTTCTCTGCCCGTAGACTCCATGAGGCTCTCCTTCACTGATTGCGCTCAAGAGGATGTCGTGGAAGCAAAAGCTATCGATTCAATCTGAGCCCCTTCGAGCTAAGGCGAAGGATCGTTCTTTCTCGTGAACTGCCCATACCCATCGTGAGCCGCCCATCACTTGATTCAGCAATGGCGGCGGCCGCAGCGGCCGGCGCATCCACAAAGAAGCGAAAGGGTGCTTTCGGCCTGCCCTTGGATGACGAGCAGCCCATTCCCCACTCCTCACTCGACCGCGTCACCACTGGCTGCATCGAAGCCGACCAGCTCGTCTGCAATGCCCAGTCGGCACTCGAGGGCATGCTCAGCGGGTTTCTGGCGGCGCGGACAGCAGCAGAGGGCAAGCTCAAGACGATAGCAGTGGAGATGCACCAGATGATAAGCGAGAAGGGCGGCACACCCGAGCCACAGCACACCACCGGCACACTCATTCTCAGCGTCGGCGGCACCGTCTTCGAGGTGTCCCGTGCAGCACTGATGCGTCCGTCGATGGTGCGCAAGTACCTGTCTGTGCTGCTGCTGCGGTTCGAGGCCGCCCTGCCCCGCGACGCCGAGAAGCGCCCCTACCTGGAGAGCTGCCCGGCATACTTCCGCTGGCTCCTTAACGAGCTGACCGACGCCCTGCAGAACGACCCATCGTATGCCGAGTACCACACACTCTTCATGCGGGAGATCGGCAGCAGCAGTGGCGACGACAGCAATGGCAATGGCGACGTGCAGATGGGCGAGGAGGAGCGGCAGGGAAAGGGGGACATAGCGGACCTGTTCAAGGCGTTTGACGAGAGCCGTCGTGCGTGTGAGCGTGTGTACGAGGCCCTCAAGGCGGAGAAGGAGCGGATGGCGGCCTTCCTGCGTGCGATGGAGCCGTTCATGAAGACGGACGATAGCGAGGAGGACGAGGTGCTCAGCGTCACCATCCACGGTGAGAGGGTGTCGGTGATGCGCCGCACACTGTCGCCTCTCGGCCACAACAACACACTATACAGTAGATTTTCACCGTAAGCACGAGAACAATGGGGAAAATCCGACAACGGACGTGGTCACGATGTCCTCTCCTCTGTGTGTATTGCTGCAGGACGTATTGGATCGATCGCAGTGTGCATCAGACGTCCGCCGAGCATTTGCAGCGTATTGTGGATTTCGCGAGGCGCCAGGCCGCCATGCCTGCAGGCCAGCGGGTCGGCCCGCCCGCAGTGGAGCGACGTCGAGAGCTGTTTGTAGAGGACTTGCAGATGGTGAGTCTGTCTGGGTGAGAACGATTTCAGCCGACATCTGGCCTGTGTCGATATTGTGTGTCAGTACGGCCTCAAGGACCAGCCCTTCTACCGATGGGGCGCGGGTGGCGGCCTCATCATCACATCGGAGGACCAGCTGGCGTCGGTGGTGGAGTTCACGGGGCGGACGGGCAAGACGCCATCTCTCCTCTACAAGTGAGCAGACACAGGAAGAGACGGGAGGGCGGCTGAGGCGTTGGAGAATGTGCATGTGGATGTCTTGCTTCCAATAGGTCCAGCCGCGACGGTTTTGGCCACGGCAGTCTCCTCGACTGTGTCGGCGACGCGAGCGGTGTGCTGTTCCTCGTGCAGCACAACGACACACACCGATTCGGAGCATTCGTGCCCGGCCCCCTCGAACAGCCCGCCGACCCCACACAGCACAAATTCACCCGCTGCCCCATGACCTACTACAGCATCAGCGGGGCATATGACGCACCCACGAAGCTGACATGCCGGCCGAGCACACACAGGGCGTGAGGGTCGCTGGGCGGGAGGGGGCGGTGACGGGGCCGGATGGGGAGCCAGTCACCAAGTTGGCCATCAGTGTAGACCATGCAGCCGTGCTGTCGCTGGGGTATGGGGACCCCGGCCCGGCAGCGGACCTCAGTAGCTGTTTCATGTACGTCAGCAAGGACCACTTGCAACTGGGCTACCAAGGGCCGGCGGTTGCGGGCGGCAAGGGCACTTTGGCGGGCGACTTCTTCTTCACCGCGAGCGAGATGGAGGTGTGGGGACTCGCGCAATGAGACACGTTGTGTGTGTTAGGTCTGGTGTGTGGATCGGTCTGATGGATGATGGCTTGTACCTCACGATCGCCACTCCTCGTGGATGATCCGATCCATGTATTGCATGTTTGACTGGTGGTGGTGGTTGACCGACCTCTTGCATGCCATGTGAGTGAATTCGTCGCCCTGAGCCGCAATCACTCTTACTCACAGATAGGTAGAGAGGTCCATCCATCCATCCATCGGTCATCAATCGAAGCACGCTCTCGTCACAGCAGATGTCACCTACGGCTGCGCCAACCCAGGAGAGCGAGACGCTCCTCCAAGAGCACGTCGCTCCCTGACTCGTCGCAGCGCAAGGCGAACATCTGCCGTGTCGACACAGATGCATTGCGTGGACGTAGATTGGCTGGTTCCGATACACGGCGCCTCACATAATGAAGCACCCACCGTCGTCACAACCACACACACACCACACCCCGCCACCGCATGGTGTGCCTGCCACTTAGCTAGTAGGATAGTGGGGGTAGAGAACCATTCACTCAGAGGTCGGCTCGGCAATGTATAAAAAGACACACACACCACCGGTCCACACACCACCACGTTGAGAAAGTCATGCCTGTCATGTGATATGACGTGTTGGATGTGTGTGTGTGTGTGTGTGTAGATAAAGCATCTTTGTTGGCAGCCGCATTGACACACACATATGATAGTGATATGAAGGCACGCGAGAGTTAGTCCACAGAAAACTCGCTCGAATGGACAGACAGACAGGCAGACATCGGCAGATGGGCAGACGGGCAGAAAGGTAGGCAGGAGGATGCAGACGATCCGCGCTGCTGAGCCAGGTGGACTGGCTCAGGATGATGAGACAGACACCCAACACTGGCTCACGGCACGCGCACACACCACACCACACCACACCACACCAAACCGCACACAGACACCCCGGCTGTTTGTTGAATGGGAAAAATACAGACACATAGACTACCTGCATCTGAATGATTCCTTTCCTCCGTCGTTGAAGCAAGGGAGGCACAGCACACCCGTCCGATGATTGTGTGCGTGCGTGCGGATGCAGCGGACAGGCAGGAGTGAGTGGGTGCTTCACGCTGCCCGTGTGCACACAGACAGACGAGTACACACACACACATATGCCGTGCCCCCAACTGGCAAAGCAGTCGGTCGCCCTTAGGCATTTTGAGACAGAGCTGAGAAGAAGATGAGAAGACGAGAAGACGAGATGACATGAGGAGGAGAGTAGTGAGTGCCGGCAGCCGGCAGCTGGAGTAGGGCCTTTCTACCTACTCGACTCGAGCACGCATCATCATCATCATCATCAATGCCGCATTGGATACAAACAAGTAGATAGTGTACACACAGCACACACACCACGATCGTCGATCAAGCGATGTTAAAATATGGAGATTTCGACCAACAACAACAGCAACACGCACACAAAGAATATAGAAAGGAGATCGGCCAACCGACGCATCCTCTCTCACTCTCACTCACTCACTCACTGCCAGCAGCGATTCTCGCCTCATCCATCCATCTCGCCCGACCTTGCCCAGCCCACCCACAAGAAACAACTCACGCAACCCACAAAATCTGCAGCCCTCCGTCCCCTGAACCTGCCTGCCTCCCTGCCGTCCTCTCTCGAGCGAATTCTCACGCAAAGCAGCTCATTCATAGCGCCGCAGCGACAGCCCCAGGCTCCTCGGCTCCTTGATGTCCTCTGACCACACGTCCTGGTCAGGGTACTCTCCACCAGAACCTCCACCAGCACCTGCCGACGGCCCCCCGCCGTACCCCCCACCCATCGGTGGGGGCGGTGGCGCAGCTGGCCTCCTCACTGCCCCACCAGCACCACCAGCACCAGCAGCAGGAGGTTGACCCATATGAGTGGCGGCGCCCCACGCCGCTTGTGGTGGCTGCAGGATGGTGGGGCCGGGGTACGCGCCGTGGGAGCCGCCGGGGTGCATGGCCGCAGCGTGATGCGCATGGGGATGGGGCGGCACGGTCATCGAACGGGGAGGATGGGCCATCGGGCCGCCAACAGCCCCTGGGTGGGGGTGGCCAAAGGGGGCCTGCGGATGATGCACTGCTCCGTGTGGAAAGCCGTTCGGTGGGGGGAAGGGGGCGACGGGAGGCTGCGGGGCCGAGTGCGCCATGATCGGCGCACCATACCCCCGCCCAATCGAATGTCCGTAAGGGCTGTCGGACGGCGGCGCTGGGGCCATCGCTGGCATCGACCCACCCGGCGGCCCAGATGACGGCATGCGATCGTAGACGTCGAGTGCCGGTGCCCACGGCTCCGTCGGGCCCCCAAAGGGGTCTTCGGGAGGCGTGGGCGACTGGAAGGGAGGGCCAGGCCGCGCGTCGGGTGGGGGTGGGGGCTGGCCGGCATAGCCGCCGGGACCAGTCGATGTGCGTCGCCGCTGCGCTGGGGGCAAATCGGGGGACCCCACAGCGCTCGCCATGCTGCGCTTGCGGCTCACGCCGCCTTGGGAACCAAAATCGGCTGCTGCTGCCGCTGCCACTGCCACCGCTGCTGCTGCTGCTGCTGCTGTTGCTGGGGGCTGATGCGCCACCACCAGCGGCCTCCCAAGCACTTGTGGGTGGTACGGCCCGGATGCCTGGGCGTACCCCATCTGCTGTCCAGGGTTAGCCAATGGTGGTGGTGGTGGCGGGGGCGGTGCCATGGCTGGCTGGACGGCGAGAATGGGCGGGTGGTGCAGGTGCATCATGTGGGCGGCGTAGGGCGGCTGTGGCATGGCGGGCTGGTGGGGGTGGGGATGGGGGAAGGGCGGCTGCTGCAGCTGGGGAGCCACCATGGGCTGCTGCGGCTGCTGCTGGGCGGCAGCAGCAACCGCAGCAGCAGCACGCCGCTGTATGCGAGTGGACGGCTGGGAGAACGTCAGCCTGGCGAGAAAGGTGCAAGGGAGAAAGGAGTGAACACCCGAGGGACGGTGTGTCTGGTCTAGCCTGGATGGCTTACACTTTCGGTGGAGGGTCGTATTTGAAGAACTCGTGATTCAGCGCCTTAGCAGCCGTGATGCGCCGCTCTGCACGAGATACCAAGAGAGACACAAGAGGTGGTTCATCGGCCATCCATCCATCCAAGTGAGCTCTGCTCCCCCGGGTTGCTTACTTGGATTCAGAACCAGCATTTTGGACAAGAGGTCGAGCGCCACGCTATCGCACTCACGAAATGTCTCCCAAAACCGATTCTGCCACTCACTGCAGGGAGGGAGGGAGGGGAGGGAAGACACACACGTGGTGTGAGGGTAAGTGTGTGTGTGTGAGGTCTAGTTACTAACTAACGTACCCCATGCGGGCTGCGTCTGTGAAGAATCCTCTGAACTGTGAGTATGGCTGTGTGTCGACCAGCCGGCGGTCGGGGGGGCCCAGCAGCTTGTGGATGAGCTCAAGCACCTTCATGTCCGTGTCTGGGGGCAACAGGGCAACACACACGACCAGACATATCATTGCACACACACGTCTTCTTATGAGTGCCAGTTGGTGTGGTTGTGGCTGTGGCTGTGGTTGTGGGTGTGTGTATGTGTGTCATTGGCAGACTGACCTCCCGGAAACATGGGTCTGTTGAGCAGTAGTTCGCCGAAGATGCACGCGGCCGACCAGATGTCCACCTCAGGGCCGTAGTTTCGCTGACCCATCAGCAGCTCTGATTCACACACACACACACACACACACATAATGGACCACACACCGCAGGCACCACGTATGTGTGTGTGTATCGCTCAATCAATTGTGGTGATGTTTCGTCTCCCATCCCACCTGGCGGCCTGAACCAAACGGTAATGACCTTGTTGGTCAACTGCGCACACACAGACAGACAGACAGACAGACAGACAAGCAGGGAAAGACATTCATTAGCCATCTTTGTGTGTGTCTTGGGTGGTGTGGTGTGTGTTGTTCCCCTCCCCGCCCACCGCACCGGTTTCCTTCGGGTAGGGTCAATGGCGCGGGCGAGTCCGAAGTCGGCTATCTTCAGCTGCCCCTGAGTGTTGACCAACAAATTACTCACTAACAGACACAACACACACACACATGCAGAGAGAGAGGGGGGGAGGTGGTCAGACGTGACGACGCGACGCATCTGTTATCTTGTGGTTGGTTTGCGTCAGTTACTAACGTTTGAGGTCTCTGTGGAGGATGGAGTTCTGGTGCAGGTAGAGGAGGCCCGTGAGGAGCTGATGCATGATGCTCTTCACCTCACCCAAATCAAGCTGATGATTGATGGATGTGCATGCCATGCCAGTCAGTCGACACAGAGAGGTCGGCCTGGATGTGATGCAGCTGTGCGTGTGTGTTGTGTTTTGGCTGACCGAAGGGCTCCTGGTTTTCGACCTCATGCGACAGAAGTTAGACAAATCACTGCAGCCAGGTATGAGCAGAGAGCCCTCAATCAATCAGTACTGACGGCGTCTGTGTATATCCATCGTTGGTGTGTGTGTGGTGTGGTGTGGTGTGCTGGGACGTATATGTGCTTACGAGTCGACGAATTCGAAGACGAGGTATGTGGTGGCCTTCTGCTCCATCTCGCGCTCAGTCACGATGTTCAGCAGACGCACAACTGAAGCCATGAAGCCAGCCACGAGAGAGAAGGAAAGAAGAGGATACCCATATATCCCATCAACACAACACACAAAGAGGAGAGGTGGTCAGTCACTGTACTGTGTATGCCCCTCTTTGTTTGTTGGTGTGTGGTCTATGTATGTTAATTACTGTTCGGATGGGCGAGGTTCCTCAGGATCTTCACCTCACGAGTGGCTGCATGGGATGCATCAACACACGGACGATGGCTCGCGTTGCACATGCCTGTGGTTGTTTGTGTCTGCCTCACCGACGGTGGGGAAGCCAGCCTCGAAGCCGTGGTCGCCGCTCGAGAGGCGCTTGAGCATCTTGAGGGCCACCTTCTCGCCTGTCTGACGGTGACGCGCCAAATACACCACACTGACATACACATAGACATAGACACCGATACAGACGTGAGCAGGCACATCCATCCAGTAAATCCAGTGAAGGTGCGTGTCTGTCGTGTGGTGTGCCGAACTCTCTACCTACTTACCCGTACTGGCCCTCGCCGATCTTCCTGTCCTTCTTGTACGCATCAACGTCTGAACCAACCAACGGCACAACACCAACACAACAACACACACACGCACAGCACAGTGACCCGCTCTTCTCCTGCACCGGGTAGGGTGCGGTCGGTCTCTCTCGGCTCACAGTTGGGCGAAGGGCTGTAGTCGCTCATGGGTGAGAGGGGGAACCCGAAAGGCATCGGCGGAGCAAACACACCCGCAGCCCGCCTGCTCGTCATGTCCTCCGCTACAGACTGGTCCTGCTGGTGGCGATCGGACACCGCCCAACCGCCGGTGGTTGTGTGATGGTGGTCGACAGAAGCCGGTAGGGAGGGGGGAGGGTGCGCAAACATGGTTGCTCTGACGCGCTGGAGGGAAGCTGACAGTCAGAGAGCGCGCCAGTGAGGCCGCATTGAGGATGAGAGACCTCCCTCCCTGCTCGGGGTTTCAGATTCGGCGATCTCCCATCGCTCTCTCCAACGCCATCGCCTGTGGCACCGCTGAGGTGTTGTCCATCCCACCAGTATACTTCCTCCTATTCCGGCAAGCACCGGATCCTATTCTTCCGCTCATTCGCGACGGGCCAGGGTTTGGAACAGTTAGGGGGAAAGGAGTGCGAGCTTTCGGAGGGAGGGAAGGGCAAAAGCCGCGCGGGTACAAGAGTGAATCAGTGGCTGTGGAGATCTGCGCAGAGCGATATCTTTTGCCGTGATGATGGATCTGCTGACACTCAAAGCCGACACGGCAAAGGACGTGCTCTTGTCTGCGGCGAAGGTCGGCTCACTCCTGGCTGTGGGGTGCGCTGGCGCCGTGACGGTGGCGCTGGGCTACTCTGGGATCTACTACCTATGGGTACGGTACACAAGCCAAGCTGCTGAGTGGACCATTAACTCATGGGACAGAATGTGTCGTATGTGTGTGTGTGTGGTCAGATGGGCCGCAAGTACCGGAAGCTGCCTCGGAGGAAGAAGTGGATGCCTGTGTGGGACGCATTTGACCAGCAAAAGGGCGAGGAGGCCTTCATCAACGAGTTCAGAGACCCTGACCAGCCTGGAGAGTTCCAAACTGTCGTCGGTGAGTGAGTGACCGGCTCAACAACCAACAGCACGGCAGCGTGACGTGATGTGTGTCCATGGTTGCTCTCCGTGTGTGTATCATATCTGTGCGTAAATAAAGACATGGGTCCTGACTTCAATGGCAACCGCATCGTGGCCTTCAGCGACCCCGAGACCTTTGCCAAGATCCTCAACGACACACAGACATTCGGCAAGGCGCCCAACGCGGGGGCGGAAGAGCTCATCGGCAAAGACTCGTCAGCTACACGCAATGCACTGCACTCACAGCCACATCACACGCACACAACAAACAGCCCAGCCCACACACGCGGTGTGTTGTGTTTCTTCCTCTCTCTCTCTCTCTCTGTGTTGGTTCTTTCAGGCTGGTGATGAGTGAGGGCGAGCTGTGGGCACGGCAGCGGAAGCTGATCACACCGGTGTTCCACTTCTCGTCCCTCAAGGCCGTGTTTGACACGATGGTGGACATCGCCGTGAAGGATGCCGACGACATGCAGCACCAGATCGAGACCAGCAAGGACCACTGCGCCATCCGCACCAAAGAGGACTTCAAGTGAGTGGGTCACGCACACACACACACACACACAGGTGTGTTGAGCTACGTGTGATTGTGTGTGTTGGCCTGCCTGCAGTGCGTTGACGATGCGGATCATCATTGCCTGTGCGTTTTCGTCTCGCTTCGACGTGGAGTGGATGCATCGCGCATGGGGCAAGGTGTTCCACTCCATCTTCTACTTCATCGGACGGCAGATTGTCGGTCAGCCAGTGCGCAACCCACTACAACACACCACACCACACCTCTCGTTATGTGTGTGTGTGTGCCTGCCTGCCTGCCTGCTCGCAGGTCCCCTGTGGAACTACATTCCCCACAAGGACGCCTGGGGCGTCGCCGCCGTCATGAAGCAGATAAACCGCAAAGTGCAGGCAGAGATCGACACGAGGAGGAAGGACGGCACCGACACAGCGGCCAAGGAAGGGGAAGGCCCGAGGGACCTGCTGGACCTCCTCATGGCTGCCGGTGACGAGATGTCCGACCGTTTGATGATCGACGAGTCCCTGACCTTCCTCTCGGCGGGGCATGAGACCACATCGTCGCTCGTCTCGTGGACCATGTACTGCCTCAGCAAACACCCTGACGTCCAGGTGACCACAGAGTGTCTCATGGGGTCCCTCGCGACGCATCTCTCCCTGTGTGTGTGTCTGTGTGTGTGTGTGTGTGTGTGTGTGTGTGCAGCGTCAGCTGCAGGAAGAGTTGGACGCCGTGATTGGTGACCGGCCTTTGACCTTCGACGACATCAACAGACTCGAGTACATGAAGTGCGTCGTCAAGGAAGTGCTCAGGTGAGTCAATGAGTGAGCCACACGGCCGCCACGCACGGTGAGTGGGTGTATTGCGTTGCCTGTTGATTCAATGACCAGGCTGTGTCCGCCGGCCCCCTTCCTGGACCGCCTCGCCAAGCGTGACTTCTCACTCAACGGCTATGACCTCCCAAAAGGTTCATTAGCACACAGTCAACACACCACCCAAGTCAGCTCCTTCGACGATCCCTCGCACAACACACGTGTGTGTTGGTGTGTGCCGTCCCTTCTTCAGGGACGATTGTGTGGCTGATGTTCCACGCTGCGCAGATGGACGAGCGCTACTGGGACAAGCCGCAGGAGTTCATGCCGTCACGATGGGCGGAGGGGTCGGGCACAGAGACTGCGGCGGAGGGCGGGGCCACAAAGGCCTTGAGGCACCCCTACGCCTACCTGCCCTTCTCCGCGGGACCCAGGAACTGCATCGGCCAGAAGGTGAGCACAGCACACGACACAACACACGCCGGCCGTGGGCACGTCTATCATGGATCTGTGTGTGCATGTCTTTCCTCTCTGCTTGCTTGTGTCTGTTCTGTATCCGTCAGTTCGCGCAGCAGGAGGCATCGGTGGGATTGATGTGACAGACAGACAACGGGAGAGAACGGACTGCATATGCCATCATTGTCCTCTGTCCCCTCCATGGTTTGTGTCCTCCCTCAGGTCATTCTAGCGTCGGTGATGCGCCACTATGACGTGGCCCTCGAGGGGGAGGACAAGGTGATGGGCATAATCGAGGCCACCATGGTACCAAAGAATCTGTCGCTCCGGTTCACCCCCAGAGGCACGTGTGCACACAGCGTCGCCAGTGGCACCACCACTGATGGCGGCGCGTAGGTTGCTGTCTGTGTCATGTCAGCGGGGGGACAGGACAGCCCGACTGACTGACTGAGTTGGTGGTCAAGTCAATGAGCCGGGGCTGGTTGTGGTGGACAGAGTGGACAGTGAGTGAGTGAGTGGTAGTGTGTGGTGTGCGAGGCGCGTGGCGTGCTGTCTGTGGTGGATTTGCAATTGATTTGTATTTTTGGTGGCCTGTCTGTCCCAGCCAGAAGCGTGTCTGTATACTACCGACCTGCAGCCAAGCGTGGGCGGGCGTGCCTTTCCCGCACGTCCACCCGTCCGTCACTGCCAGTGCAGTGCTTGCTCTCCTGTGGTGACACGTACGTGTGTGGGGGGAGGGGTGCGGTTGGTTGCCACCACTCACTCGGCTAAAGGTGCACTGCACGGCAGTCAGTGAGTGAGCCGTCGTGCAGTGCGTGTGATGTGTTTGTTGTGCTCTTCATGTGAGTGACCCCTGCCTGTGTTTGTTGTGTGTATCCTCCTGTGTGGCTGGCTGGCTGGCTGGCTGGCCGGCTGTCTGTGTGGGTGGGTGCGTCGATCTGTCTGTGAGTCACATGGAGGCTTTATGGTGCCTTGTAGGTTTTTCAGAGACGGTCAAGACATGCATGGTATGGGATGATGCCATGCGGTGCGGTGCATCTCTTGGATGGCAAACGATGGTTGCGTCGGGGGCCACACACGTGTCGTGTTGGTCCACCGCGCCGAGTAGGAGATGATGAGGCAGACGACTAGTGACGTTTCTGTAATTGGTTCGTGTGTCAGCCATCCACTCGTTCCTTCACCATTCCACCCAGCCATGTGTTCGTTCCCCTCACACGTGGTGTGCAGCGAATTCTACTCGTACAAATGACAGCCCTCCCTCCCCCCTCCCTCCTTCTCTGGTCATCGCAAGGCCCTCCTCTTCCTCAGTAACTTGTCGACATACAGGTGCAGCATACTCACACTCAGCAGACCCGCACTCGCCATTATGAACGTCTTGTTGTCCACCACCTGCAGCTGCTTGACGCCCTCGGGCACAGCATACGACTGACGCCACTCCACTGGATTGTACCGAACCTGACAGACGGCCAGACAGACACACGGCCAGACAGACAGACAGACAGACAACCACACACACCAACCTAGGACCATGTGTGTGTGTGTTCCCCACACCCACCCAGTTCACCTTGATGGGGTAGCCTTTCCTGTTGTTCTGGTAGGCCTCGATCACTTCGGGCCGCTTCCAGTCTTCGCTTGACTCGTGGCCTTTCTGGTCAAAGGTCAACCGGTGGGAGGTGTGGCCACTGCATTCCATGTTGGTGCCTGCACGTCACTCACGTCAATCTGACTCATCTCATCGGCAGACCGTGCGTCAGGGCGTGTGGTGCCTGCCCAGCAAATCACTCACCTGTCGGTGTGTACTTGTAGTGGATCTTGAGAAACATCCCCGGGACGGTGAAGACAGCGGCGAAGATGAGCCCGTGGGGCCGCAGGTAGCTGACGCCGCTGGACGTGATCTCCCCCTGCACCTCGGTCCACTTCTCGATGATGCGGTCGTGGTTCTGCGTGTGGATGCCGACCAGGACGCCGCCGGCACCCACGACCAGCCCAACGTTGGACAGAAGCCATAGGTATCCAGACATAGACTCAGCAACACAGATCAGGTGCAGTCGGCATTGCTTGCGTCGAGATCTGCCACGCCGCTTTCGAGGAAAGAGCTCCCGTTGAGTCGAGAATTCGCGATGAGACGCGGCGAGTCGAGACGCCCCCAAATCGCGTCATGATGCATTGTCTTAGTGGCTGTGCACGGCAACCCTCATAGAAGGTGACAACGTGCGTTCCAGACGACGACACCTGGGCCGACATCTCCCAGCGCGAGAATGTATGGAGGCGCATGAACCACCTGTGAGGCGGGGGGCTTGAGGATTTCCTGAAGGCCTTCCGTGAGCGAGAACGTCCAGGCTTAGCGCGGCAACAAGACCGATCCAAACCGCGTGGAACGTTTCGATTCCCACTATTTTGGCGACGCTCGCAAGAGCCGGCAGAGAGGCAGCGAAGGCAGAAGGCGTCGATATTCGTCTCTCGCACCTAGTCTCGCACTCACCGATGCTGCCATGGCAGCAGCAGCAGCTAGGTGAGTTGGATGTCAATGTCCCACAGTTGCGGCAGATGTACGACGTGCGCCACATTGTCTCATTTGGGAGGTCAGCGCATGGCCACAAGAGCAGCTGACCCGCCTGCTCTGCGTGGCACTGCATGGTTTGATTTGGCTTGTGTGTGTTGTGTGCAGTTTCTCCACGGTAGCCAAGGCCACAAGCAGGACGTCGGGAGACGAATATGCTTGAAAGAAGATCGATAGAGCGCTTCTCGAGTGAGCATTCAATCACGGGTGTATCTGGGGCATGACGGCACTCGGACCACACGGGAGGTGTACGAGATGGTAAAAGCGGCGCAGAACGACAACATCGTCGACGTGCACTACACATCAGCCGACCAGCAGCACCTGCATGTCGTCATGGAGTGGCTGGACGGACCGACACTACTCAGCTACCTGTGCAGCCACCACCCGATGCCACTCGACACCGTGCGCCTCGTCACGAAAGGCGTGCTGCGGGCCCTCCAATTCATCCATGACAACGAGGTGAGCGAATTGAGGCTCGGTTTGGTTGCAGCATCACAACTGCTCTGACGTCACGTCATGATGCATTGTCTTAATGGCACTACTACAGCCAACACAGCATTCGCCCGGTGCTTCCTCGCTAGTGCATCGGCCTGTGGTGCCGCGGACCAAAGCAGGAGAGTTACTGCAAGTCGTCGCTTTCCTCGAATTCCTAGCAGGATCCACTTGGGTTTCTGAAACAGCGCTACGGTGATGCCCACTCTCTCAAGACCATGAAGCATGCTACCTCTTCTCGTCGGCCAGTGACATGTGGGGCGCTGGGGTGATCATGTGAGTGACAGATAGACAAACGGAGAGCACCCACACTTCATTAATTACCATCCATCCTTTCTTGGTCGTGTTGTTGATCAACCAACACACAGCGACCTGTGCAGGTATCGGTTGTTGATGAATCGTTATCCGTTTGAGGTCGCTGGGTTTGGCCCGCCACGATGAACTGCAAAAGATCGAGGAGGTGATTGATTGAGGTAACCGCACCGCACCGCACACGAACTCTGTGCATCGTCATCTTTACCTGTGTGTTGCCTTTCTCTCTCTCTCTCTCTCTCTCCCGGTTTGTGTGTTAGGTATGGTTTGCGGTATTCGATGCGCGAGAAGACAGTTCCCGAGCTGCTGAAGATGGCGTGGGCGGTGGGCCTTTGGGACGACGCCGTCTCCCTTCACCTGCTCAACACCAAGAAGCCCAACTATCATAGAGAATATTTTGGATGATCAATCAATCGGAGAGAGAGGCAACACCATCGACGCACCCATGCAGCAGGACCACGAGGCCTGCGATCTCATCCATCGCCTACTCGCCCAACACCCCCACAATTGCACCCCCACGGATCTGCTGCTCATTCTTCTGTGTGTGTGCTGACTTGTGTCGTGAGTGCAGCAGTCGCTGAAGGTCGCGGAGCACAAGCAGTCGCCCAAGGTGCGGCAGCTCCATGCACAATGATATCCATCGTGAGTGACTGGTGTAAGTAAGTGTGTTGTGGTGGTGGCTGTGCAGAAGCTCGGCACACTCGACAAGATTCCAGAGGAGAGGCAGGAGGGCATCGGCAAGGTAGGTATGGACGTGTGTGTGCTCTATCTGTCCCTTGTCTGTCGTGTGCACTCGGTGCTCCTTCTCTGTGTCTGTCGTGCCTGTTGGCACCAGCAGCAGGTGGCGGCCAAGACGACGCCTCTCGTGAGTCAGGTGGTGACCAAGAAGACTGTGGCGTACGTGGTGCACCCACCAGTGTTGAGCGAAGTGGAAGGATGGAGGGATGCATGGTTGGGTGTTCCACACTCGTGTCTCGCTGGTGCGTGGTTGGGTCTTCCACACTCGCCCTCGCTGTTTATCATCAGTTCATGCCCCCCCGTGTCGTCAAGAGGATCACAACGATGCCCGACACCAAGTGCCCGGTAAGCCCATCATCCCTGAGTATACACACACGCCACACACGACTGCTTTCTGTTAGGACACAGTTCACCTACGCCCCTGTGCGAGTGACGAGTGGCTGGCTGACTGGCTAACTATCATACTATACAGCCAGGCCGATGGCCCATCTGCCGCCCCCATCCCCGCACCCACCCCTCCTGCAAACATCGACGCGTCGGCTGCTCCCGCACAGAACCGAGGTATCGTCGCCGACCCCTCACCATCCATCCCCACAGACGAGCAGCAGGGCCGCACCATCGGCGGCGGCATGCCGGGCATCCACGAGGAGGGCACATTGGGCGGCGGGGCAGGGCACGAGCGTCGCAGTGGAGAAGAGGGCGGCATGCTGCAGATCGGCAGGGGCGGGGGCCTCACCCCCACCCGCCCCACTTAGGTTGCAGCAACACAACTGCTCTGACGTCACGTCATGATGCATTGTCTTAATGGCACTACTACAGCCAACACAGCATTCGCCCGGTGGTGCATCGGCGCGGAAGTACTGCAAGTCGCCGCTTTCCTCAATTCAGTCTTCGCGACACACCATGCATCAAGACTGACAGGTGAGGGCCACACCAGACAGCGTCAGTAAGTAGGCGGCCTATCTCTGTGCGGGCCTCTCTCTAATGTTTTGTCTGTGCGGGCCGCTTCAGATGTTCTCCGGCGCAGCCTTCCTGGGCGGTATGGCGCCCACACGGGCGTTCGCGGCATTCTACTCGACGGCTGAGAGAGAGGGAGCACACGCACACACGTGGGGATCTGCACACACGTGTGTGTTGTGTTCTGTGTATGTGTGTGTGTGTGTGTGTCCGTGTTGTGTGTTGTGTGCAGCGGCTAAGAAGACGGCCCCCCGTCGTGCCGCTGGGGAGGACGGCGATCTGGACACCCTGTTGGCGACGGATGGTACGCACATGAAATGGAAGGGGCGTGGTGGATCAATGAGGCCCATGTGCGGTCGTCACTATCTGCTGTCGGTGCAGTGGCGACCGTTGTAGCCGAGTTCAAGAAAATCACGACGGGCGGCCAAGTACCTCATACTACGACTTCACGGCATAACAGAAGGTGCGGACATAGACACACACACACACACACGGACATAGACAGACACATGTGTGTACGAAACTGGGCCCTGTGCATCTGCTGTCGGAATGTGTGCAGCGGTGCTCGTGTCCGCCATGGCTGCACACATCGGCCATGAGGCTGCCGCTGCAGAGAATGACCCACGCATCGTCGGCGGCATGCCGGGCATGCCAGAGCACGGCACTGGTGCCGGAGGCGTCGGAGAAGAGGGTGGCCTTTGAGGGTGGCAGCAATGGCGTCCTCGCGAACACATCGCAGCGGAGACAGCCGTGGACGTAGCGTGTGTGCGTGTGCGTGTACGTGTGCGCATGCGCGTTGCGTGGGGTACCGGGGAAAAGTGATGGAAGTGGCAATTGCTGCCTTCATTTTATATCAGTCGAGTGGTCTTTCCCTCCTGCACTGCATGCTATTTCATGTCAGGGATGGAAGATGAGAGTCGCTTCCACGCAATCAATCTACAGGGATATTGTAACTACCCTCATGTCAAAGACACGAGTCTGAATCAAAGCCTTTCCCTTCCCGTAGTTGACAATGACAGAAAATGATCACGCCAGTTGGTGACACATATGCATGCACAGTGCTGATGCAATGTGACCCAAATAAAGACACATCCTCTCGAAGACAGAACAAGTGCGAAGACAGCACGGAGATAGCAATCAAAACCGATAAAGCCCTACAGGGAGACACAGGAAAGAAGGGCCGAAATCGAAACGAGGATGCCCAAAACCCAGCAAACGGCAAGACAGCAAGAGAAGACACAACACGTCATGTCTCTATCTCGGTGTCCTTCTCGATGGATTCACATATGCATAGTTGCCCCTAGGGAACGCCTCGGCATTCATCGTGGTAGGACACGTATCCTCTTCCCCCGTCAGCTGATCAACCTGCCCAACATTCAAGCCGACTTGGAGATTCAAGTCGAGACACCGAAAGCCCGAAGCGAAGTTGAATAAGACCTGCTGATGCGCCGATTGTAATGGGCCTGGCGCGGCCGAGAAGACAAAAGCCAATGTCAAGCCGCTCTCAGCCGACGACGAATCTAACAGGCTGACGTCTTGGTCAGAGACCATGTACGTACGGCCACTAAACTCCAGCACAGAACTGGAAAAATGGGAGGAAGCAAATCGAACAAGAAATGGACTTGCAGCAGTGTCTGCATGTTCCTCGCTCACCTTTTTTGCGTTATACAATGGCATTAAGGGCACCTGCTCTTGTCTCAACGACTTGAATGCCGGCTCAAATGACCTTCTGCTGTCGGCATCCGTGAGATCCCCAGGCACCAACAGAGGGGCAAGATTCGGCCATGACCTGACGCGATATATGTCAGTGCCGTCGCCGTGTGCGTTGAGGTCTAGAAATGGTGAGTCAGCCACAAACAGCCCAAGTAGCCGATGGTGGTCGATCGGGATGACCTCTGAAGGACAGAGTGGCGAGGAGTGCCCACATCCTTGCCAGTGCTCTTTCGTGGCTTTACATACCCGCAGCTTTCCGTCGGTCCCTGTCGTCACGTGCCGTCCGGCTTCTTGTCGCCTCGTACTGCGTGAGATTTCTCAGCAGCTCCGCTACTTCTCTCTGACTACCCCCCTCATTCAATTTCCGTCTCCATATCGCCAGCAGCCTCAGCTTTCCCTGAAAGCAATTGTCGGCCGCCTTTGACGCATCCAGGTGCTGCTGGGCAGTGTTCGCGAGCTCCGCCTGTCTGCCGAGGTTCTCGAGCATGACGCGACAGCCAACGTCGATTGGCGCCACGTCAGACGCTGCGGCAAGCCCATCGCGCTTGACCCTCCGTCTATCCATCCGTCTTGACCAGGATTGAACATCCCATAGCTCGCGATCCAGTGGAACAGCCTCAAGTGTCTTGCCGTCGCCTTTCAGTGAGCCCCGAAACACCTCCACTGGTCTGAACCGTGAGGATCTGATATCAACTTCGTCACTCCTCCGCACAGCAGAGTCACTGGTCCAGACGGGATCGTCCTTCGGTGCTTGGAGGGGTGCGCCGACATGTAGTGGCCTCGCGGCGTTGAAGGGATGCAGCTCGAACGTAACAACAAAGAGCTCGAGGGACGGTGATGTGCCTGGCGAGCCTGGGACGATGTTGGGGCCTGTGGACGTTATCCTGAAGGGGGGATGGGGGCCCACAGGACCGCCAGAGATCCCGAAAGCGCCCACACCTGCGAGACACGGAAGGGATGGTGCGTGAGAGACATGGCCGTGTGTGGTGGTGGTAACAGGGTCTGACCATGACACTGTATGTCGGTGTGCCACCTTCCCTCCGTACAGAGGGCTTTGTTGAGACATCCCTCTCAGGGACAAAAGGTCTTGTAGCCCTGCCGGCACTTGATGTCCCACAGCTCGTGGCCCGGCAGGGGGGAGTCTGCCTGCTTGGACGGGACGGGTTCAAACTCCTTCATGGCACTCCAGGGAGGACATCTCGCTACACCAGACAGAAGACACAGATCCCAGTCACTCACCCGCTCGCCTGTGCGTGCCTGCAGACCGGGTCATGAGGCTTACGTTCACATCTGAGTGAGTCGAGCTTTGACCATCTTGGGATGACAGCGTTGGCCTTCCTGCTGCACTCGATGGACTCCTCAAAGACGCCCCCCTTCTTTGGAAGAAAGAATGGCTCGTTGCACCTCACCTGCAGCACAGTGCCCACCGTCCGGTTGACGAGGGAGACCGGTGCCGTGTCGAGGCGGTAACCCCAACTCAGCTGGGGCACGTCCTGACATAACATGCCTGACAAGGCACACGCCGACCGGTGGCAATCACGAAAGGAATGCTCTCTGTGTGTCTTCTCTTTCTCACCAGTGCCATTGTTTGACTGATACGAGTGCCTGATCTGTTGCTGGCCAGTGGTGAGGTCAGCAACGAATGTCGCACGACCCAACAGAATGCCGCCAGGCTCATCGCCGACTTGCCTGATCAGCGCCGTCATGGCCGGCGTCTCCCGTGTCGCCTTCAAGCTGATGAAGGGATTGCCCCTGGCAACGGTTGCCATGTCGATCGCGTAGTCGCTTGGCTGGATCACCATCGCATCACCGCCTCGCGGGTGCAGGATGACCGGGCTGGTCAGATCAGGTGTGGCTGCCACAGGCAGCAGCAGCCAGAGTGTCTTTTCGTCTTCTTCACTAAGGCTTGCGAGCAGCTTGCAGTTCTCGCGCCGGACGGGATCGAACCGAGGCCGGAAGGAAGTGAAGGAGACCAGGGACTTAGCGCCGTGCTGGTGCAACACGTCGGCTAGATCACGGGCGCCTGCGTTGTTAGGGTCGGGAAGAGGAGACAGGATGACAATTGGAAGCAGATCCGTCATGGCGGCGTTCGCCGAATACTGCGCAATATGAACGGCGATAAGGACATTACATTCTCAATCTCCAGCTGTGTCTCGCTTACCTCTACGGTGAGTTGTGCATTCTCGGCATCCGCTTGGACCGGGTAGCTGCCATCCGTTCCGCTGACGACTACGCCCTTCCGCAGGTCAGGCAGCATCCCCGCAGCAAGCGGGAACCTTATCGACCCGTCCGAAAGCTGCTCACCCACAACCTGGTTCGAGGCCTTCTGAGCCACACTCACGCCCCTCATCGCTTCGCGGACACCTATGTCGGGCCTCTCCTCGATAAAGGACGCAAGGGCGGTGCCTTCGCCATGTGGAAGCGTCTTGAGCAGGCTGTCCATGATGGGGCTTGTGCTCTTTATGGTGACGGTTGGCAGCAGAAGGGCCGCAGCCGACGGAGTCCCGTTGCTCATCTGCATGCAGCGGCAGACACGAGCAGTCGTGATGTGCAAAGGACTGCACCGTCGCATCTCTCGCTTACCGTGAGGGTGATTTCGTTTTGAACATCGCTGGGATCGAAGACCAATCTTTCGGTCGTCGAGGCGTTGGGCTGTATCACAATGGGGAAGTCGACCTTCGGTCTGAAGCCCGGCGGCAGCATAAGGTCGACCTCCATCGGCTCTCTCGACATCGGCACAGGAGGGCCCACTTGCACAAAGGCACCTGGCAAACGAGGCGAGCTTCTTGTGCCAGATGTGTTTGTTGCCGTGCTCCTACCATGATGTCCCTCGGCGGTGTTGATTTCGACCTCACAGACGGAAAATTGCATGAGTGAGGGGGCGCCCGAAGCGACAATGCGCACCACGCTGCCTGATGTCCCGCCAGGACACACAATTAGGTGGTCAGGCGAGCCTCCCAGCTGGAACGAGCCACATCGGGTGATGCCTTGGCCGCTGACGGGGGGAGTGACGTCGTTTTCATAGCCTGTGGCCGGCGCATGGGCGACCACCACATCAAACGTGGGCTTGTCGGACAGGTAGCCGCCCGCACTGCAGGCAGCAAAGACAGCCAAAATACAGCGATTCCCGAATCCCTATCAGGCACTATACCTCAGTTCTCTTACTCTGTTCTGATGTGGATCTGATGGATGCCGTTTCTCTCCTGGTCTGCAATGTCCCTCTCCCACCAAAGGGGCCTTGACTTCCCATTGTCGAATCTGGCGACGAATGAGCACGTCGATGCATCCCTGTCGTTGGATCGCTTGCGGTCATCGAACAGGTAGGCCCCATCACCCAGGTGGGTGTAGCGCGGACACTCACTGCACCCTTTGTCCCTCGGTCCTGCACACGCCAGCAATGGGGACAGATGTCTGTCGTTGCGCGGGGAAGATACGTCTCGTCCGACTCACCAGTGATGATGTCAATCTCACACACGGCAAAGTGCTGCAGGAAGTGAAGATGGGACGCGACAAGGCGGACTACTGACCCTTCAGTCCCCGGCGGACACACAATGGTGTAGATGCGCTCGCTGGTGCTGTCCTTGAGCTCGAAGCTGCCGCACTTGACTGCCTCGGCGCCGGAAAGCGGCGGTTCCGTCTCCATCATGTCGGCTGTTTGCCTGTGGTCGGAGATGTAGGCGTCCACCATTTGCTTCATGTCTGGGGCAACCGCATTCGGATACACAGTGCCGTAGCTGAAACATATCCACCCGCAGACAGAGAGACATGACAACCAGCCAGCGCCGCTCCTGTGTCTTCCACCGACTAACTCACCGAGCGACGACAGTGACCTTCTCAATCCCCACTCCATGCCCATTCGAGATGTCTCGTTCCCAGAAGAGGGGCATGTCCTCGCGATCGCCTCGGCGGGACACGTCTGAGCAGGTGGCCATGTCGCCATCACTCGACCTCCTTCGAAGCACGGGATGTGCAAAACCGGCATCCTCAGTGGTGTATCGAGGGCAGTCGAGGCACGGGTCGTTGGATGGAGGCAGGGTCGTTGGGACCACTGGCACCGTCTCGATGGCAACTGTCGTCTCATGTGCGTGGGCAGCCGGTGGCGGTGTGGTTGTTGTCGACTCGGTGAAGTATGGGCCAAGGCTGTTTGCAAGGGTGACGTTGAATGGCGCCCCACCGCGAGCAGCGGGACCTGCCTGAGTAGCAGTGGTTGTCCCCGGTGCTTCTGATGTGGGTGCTGCTGTGGACGACGGGCCAATCGTAACATTCATGGTCGCCGCAGGCGAAGCTCTAACTTCGGGGCCGACCGTCGGGGCACTCACAGTCGAGAGGTGCACGGGAGCAAGCGTGCTGACACCAGCCGCCCCAACAGCAACGGCAATTGTGGTCTCTGACACAGTGGCATTCGTGACGTTCAGACCGGAAGTTGGCATCGCCGTCGGCGCTGCTCCGAAATGTGCTGTTGTAACGTTGGGCGGGACAGTGGTATGTAGCAGAGTTGGCGGAAAGAGTGTGGGTGGGGCGATCGTCGTCGACAGAGACACAGGTGCACCAGTCGAGGCGGCCGCCGAAGGAAGCGGTGTTGGTGCTCCTGTCCCTTCAGGTGTCGGCCCAGCTGTCAAATTGGCACCAGTCGTGGGCGCCACTGGCGAGGGAGTCGACTCATTGAGTGGAGCTCCCCTTGCTGCGAAGGGCTGTGGTGCTGGAGCGTGAGTGGCGTTTGCAGGGGCCGTCGTGGGCATGCCTTCAGATGGGGCTGGGGATGGAGTAGGGCTTGGTGACGTCGGCAGATATACGTTGGACGGAGGCAGTGTAGTCGTTGTTCCTTCTTCATAGACAGGAGACGGTGTTGTCGTCGCTGGACGAAAAATCACACAGATGGAATTCCCAAACGCACGGAACCCTATCGTGATCACCTACCATTTTTCTTGAGTTCTTCCAGGAGTTTGGGCGCCCGCAGCTGCACGACTGCCTTCTTGATTGGATTCTCCCATGGGTCCTGGTGCCTCAGCGTGCAGTTGGCCTCTACGCCAGTGCTCTCGCCTGCGTCGCTGGCCAGCTGGCTGTCCTTGGGGAGTGTCAAAACGACGAAGGGCACAAAGTGATGGTTCTCGTTCAGCTCATACTGAAGCACAAAGCGGAACGTCGCAGAAAAGCTGTCTTTCTCCCTTGGGAGTGTGTGCACAGATATACCGTAAGCGTCGCGTTTGCCTCTCTGGGTAGCATCTTGACCGGTGTGCCGGCCGCCGTTGCCATTCTGATGGGTGCAGTGGGTTCCAGGGCAGAGCTGAAGGGGATCGCTACCTTAGCCTCGATGACTTCCTCCTCTCCCGTTGTAGTGTTTCGCTTCACGCGGGTGACCGTGCCGTGGCCTTGGTAGGGCTTCTCAGGGGCCACTTCAAACCCTGATCACACGGACGGAAGATGGCAGTCGGTGGGTGGAGTGAATGGTGCACTCTGTATGTCTCACTTGTGTTGACGTATTCGACTTCGAGAGACTTTGTGTGCTCGGGGAGGATCTTTCGCCAGTGGCTGATGAGAGTGTCCTTGGCGCGAATGTCCACACGGAGAGTGGCCTTGCCATCGAGCGTCTCAAACTACAAGCAAGTGCAGGTGCACAAATGAGAAGAGAAGAGTCCCCCGCGCATGTCTTTGTTCCGCTTCTCACCCGTGGCGTCACCATGATGATGCCGTTCTGCTTGGGGTCGATGTACACAAACTCATCGGCAGTTGAGGCTGATGTGTTGCCCGTGCTGAACCGCCCGGATGTCTCACTGTGGATGAGGAGCGGCTGCTTGACGTCCATTCGCGCGTCAGGCGGCAGCGTGATGACTATGCCCTCCTTGTCGTGGATGTCAACATCGGCCCTCGTCTCCTGTATGGGGCTGCGTGAGCGGGGCACCGGCACCACCAACACCTCAATGCTCGAGTCGTTTGTTAGACGGCTGAGCTCTTTGAGCAGCTCATCTGCGCGTGGTCCTTCAGGGATCACTTGAAGAAAGACAGCCAAATGAGACCCGTAAAGCCCATACTGACAGATAGCATCAGATAGCCAGACATGAGATGACTTATATAGGGAATGTGGGGCATTGATTGCGTACCCTGCGTCGATATGCGGCATTGGTCGGCCCTGTGGCGATCCGTCGGCCGCCCGCTGTGATAATGACGACGGGCCGGTTGAGGTCGACGTCGACATTGCTGGGAAGCTTGATCTCCACTCCACCTTCATCGAGTCGCAACGCAGGTCCCCGAAACGGCTTGCCCTCGCCCTTCTTCCTGGCCTCCTCCTCTGAAAGTCACAGAAGAATGCGTCTTCAAGGGACGCATTTGTGTCTCTCTGAGCGACTGTAGATTGCTCACCAGGGCGGAGAGCGCGGTAGACGTCCTCAGACTGAGGCGTCTTCCAGCTGGCGACCCCTGACAGCGGATCGACGATGCATTCTGCCTCAGGAGGAATTGGGCCGCGTGTCTGTGGGATTGTATCGTAGCCCTTGTTGCAGTACAGCCGCCTCTTGGCTCCCCTGCCGTGGCCAAACCCTTGCAGATTGATCGCTGGGGAGTCGGGATAGCCCGGACACTCCTCTGTAGAAAAGGCACAGGAGAGAATGTGACCGGCTGTGAGAAAAATAATGACGGCCTCGTCTTACGTTTGGCGGCGACGCTGGACTTGGGGCCGCCTTTCAGCGAGTCGAGGAGAGCGACAAGGTTCTTCGAGAGGCTGGTGGACAGGTTGATGTTGCCACGAAACACGAGGACGAAGGACAGGTTGCCAGCAAAGCCAAACCCGCTCGTGTCCCAACCCAGCATGAGGCTCTGCTGGTGCTTCTTGTCGCCATCGCGAATGCACCCATTCGTGGATGCCATGTCAGCTGGCGAGAGCTTCGGGGAGGAGTCGTTGGCCGTGTAGAACTGCGTCACGGTCAGCTGCTCACTGCTGTTGTCGATGGCGGGCTTGGTGGGCTGGTTGACGCGCATGGCGAAGACGGCCTATCGGTCGGTCTGTTTTGGATCTGCGACGGCCTGCACCTTGAGCTTGCAGTCACGATGGGACCACAGGTGGCCATCTGATTGACCGAGACACAAGGCAGGTCAAACAACCAAGATGGCGACAGGACGATCGGTGTGTGCTCAAATGTGCGCCATGCCTTGGAATCCGAATGCGAAAGTGGTGTCCTTCATGACTGCTCCGTGAGCACCCACAGAGGCGATGCCGCTGACCACACTGTGTGGCTTCACCAACTGCATCCATATCACATGCAGAGCAACAAAGCAACCATGTCTCCGACCCTTCCCCTTGTGTATTTGTGTGTGCCACCGTTCGGTTCTCGGGCATGAGTCCGAAGACCATGGTGAAGTCAGGGTCAGCCAGCAGCGAATAGTCCCGCGAGCCGACCAGAAACTCACCCTCATCGAACACAAGCGATCCACTGCACACACACTCACACAACACGACACAGAGAGAGATAGTCACCCGCGTCAAGCAATACATGTCGCTCTCTCGCCGACTTACCCGTCGAACCGTGGCAGCTTATGGTGATCGATGCTCACGCCTGACTGATGTCCAGGCAGGAAGTCCCCAAAGCCATATGTGGTCCCCGCCATGTTCTGCCACTTGAGCACGCGAGACAGCTCATTCTTTTCGACCGCCCCGAGACTCAGCGTGTCAGGATCAGCCACGTAGAAGCCCATGAGCTTCGACTCATCAGATGGAGACAGCTTCAGCTTGTCCAGATAGGCACCATACGATCCGAGAGCTGATCAGCAATCACGCACGTGCATTCGGGTAGGGAGATGTGACTCTATTCTCTGTTATGTATTGAGTGAGTGTCTGTCTGTCTCACGTGAGCAGGTTGGGACCGGTGCACTGAGGTTGCCGTTGCCGAGACACGTGAGGGCCGCGCTCGTGTCGGGGATCATCTCATACCCCTTGTCGCAGGTGAATGTCACCGTCGTGCCCGGACCGACATTTAGTCCGGGCTCGACCACACCATGCGCCAGCGGCTCCACGGTGCAATTTGCTGACAATCAGACGACAAAATCCAGCGAGATCCATACGAAAGGAGTGTGTGTTTGGTTGTGTGTACTGACTTGGGGCAGGTGCGCCGGGGACGCTGTGAGCGATGACCGAATACCACTTCTTGTCGACGAAGCGCACATTGTCCACACGGATGCTCCGATCGCCAACGAGGGCCTAAACGTGAGGAGGCACAATGCCGAAACACATTCCGCGTAAGAGTGTGCTGACCTGGCCTGCGGGAACTCTGAAGCTGTTGTCTGGCGCTTCTCTGGGCGAGAATGAGTAGTGGTCCATGGCGTCCACAGCGAAGGTGGATGGCAGGCGAAACACCAAAGAGCTGCCGTTGGCCTGATACTCGCCCAGATCTGACACCAACCAGCCAACCAACCAACAGCACAAAATGGAAGATGACGATCCATGCGTCTGTAGCGCATGGTGTCACTCACATTCCTTCTTTGGCGGCAATGGCTGCGCTTCAGGCGGGCGGCCTCCCGGCGGCGGCACTGCCTCCTTCTTGAGGATGAGGAATACGTCATACACCACATCCTCCTCTATCGAAGGACTGTACGCGTGAAGCATGTGGTCGGCCGGCGACCAGGTGAACTGAAGTTACCTCCACAGACACGTATGCAGAGAAAGCGGTCACCCACTTTTCCTGTAGCCTCACGTTTTTCGTGCGGTAGACGCTGGAGCCGACTTCGAACTCGACAGCCATGATCCTGTCTGCCTTGCTCCATAAATGCATCGGCAGCTCCAGTGAGACCTCGCCGGGCGCGCCAGTAGCCTGGAGATTCTCTGACTTTTCCTCCTTCTGCCTGCGGATGACCAGGAACATTTCATACTCGACGTCCTGCCGGATCCGGGGGCTCTTGACGAGAAGCGTGTGGTCATCAGGATTCCATGCGAACTGCAATCAAGACAGCAGGCAGGTCAGACACACTGTGTACGGATCATGTGCGCATTCTGCTTACGTTTTCGCTGGCGAATGCCTCAGTGGCCTCTTCGACTTCGACCTTGAGGATGTCGTCAACAAGCTTCCAGAGGTGTTGTGGTACGGGCATGATGATGTATCCCTCGTTGCCGACGGCCCTCACTGGCTCGCTCCTCCGTGTGGGGCCAGACCTCACCGTGAATGAGGCCTCGTACGCCTTGCCTGCCTGGATCGCAGGGCTGTACACCGTCGCAATGTTGGTCGCGTCATCGATGACAAACTGAGTGGCACCAGAAAGAGAGGAGACATAAAGTGTGTGCCTCGTCCTGGCTTGCTCGCACCTGATCGCTCCAGGACTGCTCGCGCCCGTCGCTGAGTTGGACGGACACAATGTTGGGTTTCTCCCTCAGCACACTCTCCGGGAGCGGCACCTCCAGCCTGCCGTCCTGCCCGGCGATTGCCTGGACGCTCTCACTCTGCCGCTCGGCCTCCTCCTCAGCCTCGCTTTCCCTCATCAGCACACTGCAATCGTACTTGACGCCATCGAGGATGTCAGGGCTGCGGACCACCAGCTCATGCGAGTCATAGTCCGGTGTGAAGTCGGTAGAGGAGAAGGCGCTCGTGCCGTCTTTAATCTCGACCTCCACTATGTCGTCCACACGCGCCCATAGCGGTTTGGTCAGCGGGAGGAAGAGCTTCCCCTTGTGTGCGGTGACTGTGCCGGCGTCCTTCTTGGTCGTGTGTGTGCCGCCTGCTGGTGTGTCGTCCTTGTGTGGATGGTGCGGCCGCCCGCCTGCGGGAGGCCTTGGCGTTGTTGTCGGTCCAGGAGACACCCCCTTCTGCAGATTGACGTCGATGTCATACAGTCCTGGGCCGATGTTGTCGTCTCGAAGCGTGGCTTCATAGAGACCGCTCTGGAGCTCCCTGTAGGTGCACTGGAGCAGCGAGAGGCGAGAGACAGGCAGTGATAACAGGCTTGCAGAGGTGTGCGTGTCTATGGATATTCTTACAGCTGAGCTCATGACTGTGATGCCCCTGTCATTGGTTCCCACAGGGGTGACGGTGAATGACTTGACTTGTGGAGGGGTCACGCCCTCGGACAGTCGTGTCGTGAGCTCCCCGTCAGCCAGCGTCATGGCCGTCCCGAGATCGTGCTTATTCTCCTCACCTGAATCAAGGGAGCCGGCCGGCACTTCTTGTTCGCGCAAGTCCGTATGTATGTTTCATCTTCCTACCGATCAGTTCGTCCACTTGTTTCTGGAGGTTGTCCAGCTCTGAGTCCGCCGCGCCTATGGCCTTGTCCACTGAAGGCACGCAAACGGCCGCAGAGACACATCATTCACATCAGACGTTTGGCTCACGCTGCCTCTTCCTTCCTTTGTTACCGTCTTGGTTTTTGAGGAAGCTGAGCATGAGCGATGAGACGATCCTCATCACCTCGGGGCTGTCGTCGCGCAAAGGGCGCTTCCACACCGCGATTAGACGGATGTCACCTGACGACCACAGTTGTTGAGCAAGTCTTCACCTGATTCTCTCTCGTCCCGTGTCTCCCTCACCGACAAAGCCTTGCAGAGGGTCTTTTTCCGATGGCTCGGGTGCCTCCATCGTCCGTCTCCCCACCAACAGATTCACCGGCAGCCGCTGCTTGCTGAGTTCCTGCCCGCCATAGCTCGGGAAGTCCCTCTCGCCAGTTATGTCCACCACAGTCTCGCTGCTGGCTCCCGTCCTGTCTGCGTATATGTAGATTCCTGCGGGCTCGCCGGTCTCGTGGTCAGATGTTGCATTCGCGGCCTTGGCCGCGTCCGGCTCGGCTAGATGGACGCCGAAGAGGCACCACTCACCGTTGATGCAGCTGTCGGGGATCTGCGTGCTGTCTGCCCTCAGCGACTTGGTGCCTGGGGCAAAACGATGTCCTTGTGCGTGTCATGGTCTCACTTGTGTCTGTGTGTGTCTGTGTCTGTGTGTGTCACCTTCCGGTGCTTCCTCCCAGACGCCGAACACCTGGAAGGGGTTCTGCTTGGTCTGGTCGCTGGGCGGGTCCACACCGAAACGAATGCCCTTTACTCGCTGCCCAGGTGTGGCGAGGTTGACCAGTGTCTTGCTGCGCGACGGACCTGCCGTGGTCTGGGCCTCCGGCTGGCTTCGAAAACCGACAAAGACTGTCGCACCCCGCTTGCCGACCACGTTGAGTGCTGTAGAGAGGAGGCCCTCCTGACCGGTGAATGTCACCAGCGATTGGTTGCCGGTGCTGAGCAGACGGTGAAGGAGAAAGAGATCCATGTGCTGTGTGTCGGTCGCTGCTTACATAGTGAATGTGGGGCACTCTCCGGCCTGCCGGGGATCGCTGCAGTCGCCCGGCGCAGCCAAAGACGCGAACCCGCCGCACCCCCAGTTGTGCCAGGTCTGCACGTACCTCTTGCCTTCCGGCCCGTCGACAATGTCCAGGTGCTCCTCGTCAGCCACATAGACGCCCATCAGACCCTGCGTCACCAGGGGAGGCAACACGCCCGTCCAGGGATTCAGCTGCTCTACGAATCACATGCAGAGAAGGGATGCGTACATGTCAGTGTCTCTCGCGTTGGCTGACAGGGTGGCTTACTGGCGGGAGCGCAGAATGGGATCCCCTCCCCACCAGCGGTGAATTCGCCCTTCTCCGTGCACGCAAGTGTCCCCCCTGATGGCTCAAAGCTGCCCTTGCAGCAGAGTGCGGCCTCATCGCCAGCAACGAAGCCCTCCGAGCTGTGCGGCCCCGCAATGCGGTAGAAGAACCCATCAGGTACGACGGGAGGGTCGCACTTGGCTGAACATGAATGAGTGACACAGGCACATGCAATGCTGATCAAGGAAACCTAAACGCTTCATGTGGTTGGTTGGTCACCTCTGCACGAGGGGTAGTACTGAGAGGACACTGGTGGCATCCACATCCCCTTCCCGTTTTTGTCTTCAGCCGTCTTCAGAGCCGACGGATCGACGCCATCTTGCGGCATACAGGTGAGGGCACTCACACCAGCCTGAAAACAAATGTGGACACGTGAAACACGCAGGCAGGGAGCACACTTGGCTCCTCACCACTGCGAGGCCAGTCTTGCACACAAAGGCCATCGATCGCCAAAGTCGTACTTGTCCTGAAGAGGCACCACGGTATCGATGTTGTCGTCCAGCGTCAGGTCGCCACACGGACCCTCAGCACGACCGAGACCTGGGACACACGAGACGGCCAAAGTCGTCGCTCATGTAACATCGTGATGCAGTTCTTTGTTCCCTCTGTGCTCACCGCGGACGGGTTCTTCAACGCACTGAATGGTTGCTGGGTCCGGCTCCAGCTGCCCCTCGCCGTTGCAAGTGATGACCAGGTCTTGTTTGGGGAAGAGCACATAGCCGTCGTCGCACACGCCCTTGATCTCCTGGCCTTCAAGCATCGTGAAGTCGGGGTCCGTCGAGTGCCCGTCCTCAAACATCAGATAGCCGTGAGACAGAAGGTCGCTGGCCGGCTGCACACACACCGGACGATCAACTGCACACACAAACAAAGAGAACACACACAGCTGTGCTGTCTGCCCATGTCTGTCTGTCTGTCTGTGTCCGGCGGGTTATTGACATACCGAAGACGCAGTAGGGGGTCGGCCTGTCGTAGGATCCATCCTCCTGGCAGAGCAGTGTGGTAGGTCCCCTGAGCTCATAGGAACCATTGCAGCCCATCGTGACGTTGGTGCCGATGGCGAAGCTCTGGTTGCCCCTGGGAGCGGCCAACCTCCAGTTGGACAGCGTGTTGACGTCGGTGGGCTCGGGCGGCAGACCGCACTTGCCGCCCTCCACCACTGCAAGCACACAGCCAGAAACACCCTCCTGCTGCTTCAAAGACTTTTGTGTGACGCGTCGTACCACAATGGGGTATTTCTTCTGGGTCGGCCTCCGCGGCATCTTCGTCCGAGAGTCCTGGTTGGATGAGGCGGGGGCCTCTCGCCTTCTGCAAGAGGTTTTTCAGACCTCCAAGCCCAAGAATCGACTCCTCGACAGATAGCTCCAAGGCAGCTCTGCAGGGAGTACGCAAGACGACTGCATGGAGACATTGCACATGTGGCAGATGGACTCACCAGGGGCATAGCACATGAGCTCGTGGGCCCTTTTCGGTGACAGGTCCAGCCCATTCGGACACTTGAACTTGACGATCGACCCGTGACGCACCTGAGGGTCCGAGTACCGCACCTCCAGATGGTCCCGCGTCTCCAAGCCAGTCATCGGACAGAAAACTGATGATGCAGCCAACAGAAAAGCCGTGACACTCACTGGAGCACACGACTAATGCCTGTGTCTCTGTTACTGATGCATTTAGGCACATCCCCCCTGAACTCTCCCTTGGCTTCGATGCACACGACCTTCTCGTCCCCGCGAGACAAGACGCTGCCGTTCGGACAGGCGAAGTTTATCTCGCCGCCAGCTGCAAAAGAGTCGTCGTTGAGGAGCTGCTGCACAGGCACCTCGCCCACAGCCTCGACCTTGGGCGGCTCCAGCTCCTTGCACACCATGGCCGTGTAATCTGAAGGGACGACAAGACGGAGATGCGAGAAGCAAGCCGATTTCTGCTGCTGTACTGAGGCAGCTGGGAATGTCTGTGACGTTGGGGAATGCATCCCAGGTGCCGTCGATTGTGCACTGGGTCTTGAAGGGATACGCTGTCGGCACGTCGAACAGACATCGATAGACCGATGGCTGGCTGGATGGACGACGTCTCATTGCTTTACCTTTTGGCCACGATAGTCCCTTGTTGCACCTGAAGATAGCGATGGCACCACACTCTGTCGCGTTGAGGCCAGGGATGTTGGCATAGTCGATGACGCCGTCCTTCGGCTCCTTCAAGCGGCCGCAATCGACTACACACACACATACACACACGCGCACGCACGCACGCACCCAGAGGTGCTTTCGCCTACATGGACTAAACATTCGTGTTGTGCCGGGCATTACTTTTCCTGTAGAGCTCCTTCGGATTTTCCAGTGTAAAGTTGAGCACACTGCTGGTCATCTTGAGCTCATCGTCGGGCACGAAGCGGGAGTAGATCAGCAAGGAGTGCACCACACCATCTGACAGACGGAAAGAGAACGTCCTGTCCGTGGCAGGAGAACACGCGAGTGATTTCCTACCCATGAAGCATTGTGAGAGCATGGCGTCGACGTTTCTGTGGGTGCGGGGGGTCTCGGGGAGCTCCGGTGGCGGTTTGGGGGAGTCGACTCGACAGCCAAGGTCAAGGATAGCACCCTTCTTCGCATTCTTGTCCATCCATGTGATGTCGTCAGCATTGGGGAGCGCCTTGCCGTCTCTGACCAAAGACGTGACAGCAATTGTGTCCGTCTTTATCGCATTTCAGTAGACTTGCACTCACATGATGATTTCCGTCTTAGGTGGCTCGGTGGAGGGGATGCCTCTCTCCTCTTTGGGCTTGATGCGGCGGATGACGATAGTGCTGGTCGTCTGTGTGACCAGCTGTACATCCTCTAGCCTGATTTTCTTGGCTGGTGAAGGGCCAGCCCCGAAGGAAAATCTCCCGCTGAGATAAGACAGAGACGCATGCACTGCATCGTCCCGTGAGTCCGCAGTGATAGGTCCCTCGTCTCACACTGGATTATCGTCTTCCCGATCGAATCCGATCTCAAGGTTGGCGTCCTTGGTCGCCATGTCAAAATTTAGGATGACGGCTGACCCGTTGTCGAGGTCGACAGCGTGGCCGTTGTCATACTCCATCCGGGGCCACGTGACCAGGAATATGACTGTCACGTTGCCCTTCTCGAAAAGTGTGTAGGACCGCTCCCCCACCATCCATGTGCCGTTTCTGAATCTCAGTCCGCCCCATTGGGGCTGCTTTGGGTCCCTGCCCATCTTGATCAGCTCTATGGAATCTGTAATCGTCCTATCGGTCGGAACACACAACAAATAGCCCGCCACAGAAGACTCTGTTTCCACATACCTCTCGAAGGTTGGGGCATTGGCACTCGTGGGCTGCTCGAGACTGCCAAATCCATCGGGACATGCCGACCTGAAAGGAACGGTGTTTGGCAAAAGATGGAGCAAGGCGATCATTTCTAGTCCATGAGTAGTCATGTTCTCACCCTCTTGCATCAGCCCAGTTCTGCACCGCCTCTTCCCCCCCTCTCTTCGCAATGGCCAGCCGGTCCTCGTCCGCAATGTAGACATTCTCCAGATCGCTACAGGACACCTTCAGCCTCTTGCGACATGCCTCACCTGAACCCGCCCACCCCAATGGATATAACTGCTGCCGTCAGTCAGATGTCACGGATTCCTCCTTATTGTCTGACCCCTCCAGCAGATGCCCCTCGCCTTCTTCTGCTCCTCCTTGAGATAGGCCTGGATGTCTACGAGTGACGGCACCTGGATTGCTTCGGTGTCGTTGTCAGCTGGCGTCGCAACTGCTGCCCTGGCACTTCTGCGATACCTTGAGATAAAACTAAAGGGGTCAAAGTCACCTGATTGGCAGATCCCAGACAGAACACATGATTTCCCACTGCAATCAAGGGCATCGTCATGGCGTTACTGTACCCATCGAGAGAAGAAATGACTTTGAAGGGGCATTGGCACCACCCAGTGCAAACTACAACAGCACGGGACCAAATGCAGACGTGCGATAGCGTCGTTCTCTCAGTGCAAACAGGGCGTACCAAGAGCCCCTCAAGCATGAAGATACCCTGCAGGGCAGCAAAAGCTCTTCTTAACCGTTTCATCTTCTGCGATAGACTGCGCAGCTCCGACGATCATTCAACGCAGAACCGACAGAAGAACCGCCTGTGCTGCGATGCGATTGCGCCTCGGATTGCGCCAGGCGATTGCGCTGCAAGACGTGCTGCAAGGCTGCTCCAGATTATGAGGACGCCCACGCAAAGAAGGCAGCAGCTACGGAATGAGTCCGTGCACGTGTGGAGGGGAAACTTGAAGGCCCCAAACTCGGTGGGGCCCATAAGGATCGCGCGCTTGAGGCGGTTCGCAGTGGGGTGGCAGCATTGGGCGGCCGAGTACTCGGCCCTCTTCGTGAGGGATGGAGTGTGCGCTACGGGAAGAAAGTGAGGGAAATGTCAACGTTTTCATCGGCCACATCCCACACGACGTCCCAGAGGTACTTAACGAAGAATGAACAAGCGACGCGATACTAGTATGCCATGAGTGGTTGGCTTCCTTTTTCCTTGTACCTTATCTCTCCTTCCCCCCCTCCCCCCAGGCTCTCCTTCGTAAGCTTCTCACCCAGTCTGGCAACGTTACCCATCTACGGTACTCCCTACGAAGCTGCTGCGTCAGGGGCAATGCAGTCCATGCTGTTGTCGGTCTCTCTGTGTGCACTCACTCACTGCAGGTACAACAGGTCGAAGAGGAGGTCAAAGATGGGCAACGCAGCCGTCACATTCGCAGACGAGGAGGCATGTCTAGACTGCATCAAGAGGTTCAACTCCCGACCGGTCTTCCCAGTATGCTTGATGGGGGGAAGACAGAAAGAAAGGAGAGGTTCAAACCCCTCTCTCTTTTTCAATCACCAGGGATGCAGTCGCGTAGCATCTGCCGAGCTCTTCGACAACTCCAGGCTCATGTGGAAGAACAAAACCAATTATCTTCATTTCTCCTGGCACAGTCCCACACGCAGTTGCCCTGCCGACGACCCTCCCTGCGTCTCCCACACGCCATCCACTCCCTCCCCCGGCCCCTCACACAACTCGCCCAACCTAGCCCCCTCCCAAGCGGCGGACGGCAAAATTGCCTCTCGCATCGAGAAATTGGCGCGACGAAGGCCGGTACAGACGCCTTCGACACTGTCATTTCTCGCGGAGTGCGAAGACAGACAAAGGGAGACATTGACAGACACCTTGCGGCCCTTGTCGTTCTCTATCACTGCCATGATGCCGCGCGCTGGCCGACCAGGAACAGTGGTGAGTCGAGAGACATACAGATGCCCAGAAAGGTCTCCTTTTTGATCGTTTCTGTGGTCGCGTGTTGCAGGCAAGTCCCGAAATGCAGCAAGTGCCGGCGATCAGTCGACGCCCAACTTCCGACGAGCCCCCGACTCACGACGACGGCCTTGGAGAGCTGCGCCAGGGTAGCGAGATCATCCCACTCGCTTCGATTGCAAAGACATCCGGGATGTCTCCAATCGGCCCCGCGAAGCCTCTGACCGCGGCCGAGTGGAGGAGCTTCGGCCCAACGGATTGGACGCCCCTGACCGCCGGATTGCAAAACGGCTTGTATTGGTTGCGCCGCGAGAAGGTCGCCCTGATGCAGATGCGCATGCTCAAGGCCATCTGGGAGCGGTGGGGGGGCCACAACAATCGAATGAATGCACCAGCGCTCGTATGGCCTGCTGCGAATAGCGGGAGGGCCAGCAACAGTATGGAGTACCCCTACCAGTTCCCGCTTTGTCCGCTGGTCACCAAGAGCCGTCAGAGCAGCCTGCAGCTGACCAACGCCGGCAGTGACGACCCCCCGTCGCCTTTCTCGCTCAACAGTCTAGCTGACCGGCAGGAGGAGATGGCCGAGCGAGAGAGGGACAAGAGCAAAGACAATGCCCTGCATGCCCTGTTTGGTGATGGGACAACCACGAATGGGACGGTGCCGTCTCACACAGCAGCAGAAGCAGGACCAACGATCCGCATCAGCAACGTTCTGGCTGCCCAGGCCGCCCCTGCAGCGTCGTTTGTGCGTGCGATGGCCGAGGGGGCGGCTTCTGAGGTGTCAAGACTGTCAAGACAGTCCTCACAGAGGCAGTGGAGGAGCCGGTCGACGAACCAGGGCACCGGCCATGTGGGGAGGAAGAAACGGGGCGGGAGGAGAGGGAAACGATCCCTGCAGCAGGTCAGTCATGTCACGCAGGCAGAGGGAAAGAACAGAAATGCATAACTGTGTCTCTCTTGGCTCTGTAGGTGAAAGCCCCCCGCGCTTCTTTCCTGTGTCCTGCTGACTGACGAGCCCCCCGACTGGGCTGTTTGTTGTCTGACTGAATGAAGCATGTACAAAGAACAGCAATTGCCTGGTGGTCTCTTGTGAGCTTGGAATTGCAGTGGACGTGAAACTGAGGCGCAATGGTCCGG